TTTTGGAGTCAGATTTGCTTTTGCAATTTAACTAGTAGCATGATATTGAACATGTAACTGAACAAGTAAAGTTCAGGTCTCAGTTTTCTTATCTATGAAACGAAGACAATAGTACTTAGCATTTGGATTGCTCTAAGATTAAATGTAATATACACAATCCCCCCAACTTTGTGTCTTTCCCATTACATTGCCGGCCTTGAGTGATATTTTTATATCTATTACTATTTTCTCAAGGCCAGGACAGCATGGATTTCTAGGGCCCCATTAATTTAGTAAAGTTATTTGTGAGGGGAAAAACAAATAAACAACAAAAAATTTCATGTCCAGGAAAATCTCCTTATCTTATTAAATAAGCCCACCAGAGGCACGAATGGAAAAAATATTGTTAAAACTGGAAACTACAGCATCATTCCTGGTTACTCCCTCCTCTCACTGTTAAATAACCAGGGAAGATATCGCTCTCCTATCCATAAATGTGGGCCTTTTATTCGCCATTGCTTTGGTTCTGCACATCTACAATGGCCTGGCCTTGCTCGAGCCCCTAGCCCACTCTTGACGGTCAGATTTGTCATGAAGGCAACTTGGATAGTGATGAGTATGAAAGTCTGGAGCATCGAACACACTGGGAAGAGCAACTGTGCAGAGGAACTAAAATGGACAGAGACATTCAAAGAGCTGAGGGGGTTATGGTGAAAGAATTGAAAGTGAAAGCTACAGTAAAAACAAGCCAATGCAGAAATAACAGAAGAACACCGAATATAAGGAGCAAACTGCAAAAAAACCCCAGTAATGATACCTTATGATGTTCAATCTTGTAGAAACAACTAAGGAGGGCTTTGGAGAGTGTGGATGGCAGAGATGCAGAAAGCCTAGCTGGGAAAGTAGAGGTGACGGGCAATGTAGCTAAGGTTGTATTTGCCAGGGTGAAATAACCTGGGTGTAGTGCAGGGGTGGGAGAGAAAGAATTGCTTTATAATTTCATTTCCAATTATGCCCTACCTCCTCTTCACCATAACAAGCAAAGGTAGGTGAAGTGTTGGCTGGGATCTGTGCCTTACTGCTGAAACTAACAATCAAATGCCAGCCCTGCTTGATTCTGAGGCTCAAACTTACAGACAGCATCGTTAAACCATAACAGCTCCAGCACAGCAGAGACTCGCCCTACAAGTTGTTCCAGAAAATTACCAAAAATAATTTCAGAAACATAACACAAAAGAGGTATACAATCACCCCAGGGGCAAGGAATGCTGAGTTTGTCTCAAAATGAACTCCAGAAAAAAAAGAAACATGAGCCTTCTCCTCTTGATGGAAGCAATACCGATACTTATGGTTTCTTCCTTCTGCTCTTCACAATGTCTCTTGCAAATTTTCTCCTCTCGATAAACCTCAGACCTGACCTGTATCCATGAGACCTTCCAGAGGATGATCTGTTTCCTTTTCAAAAGAAATAGAAGTCACCAGATAACTTCCTTGACTTCTGGCCACCGAAGAGACAAATCTAGCTTGCTCACTGTGTCCCTTTTCTGCTATTGCACTAAGAGAGGTGGCTTCCTACTTTTCTCCAAGGCCAGTCCCTCCACAACTGTGTGAGTTCATCCCCCTGTCTGCTCAGGAATCTCATTAAGTGGATTCCTCATGTAATGAGTGTCTCACTGCCCTGTCCTTTCTAGTTCCTTTTCTGCTAACTCCCAGCACTTCAGCATTCTCAGGTCTCAGCTCAGAAATCTCTAGCAGGTGTTTGGACGCTTACTCGAAATTTCCTTTGGATGTCTCAGACATGTCTACGTCACTATGGCCAAGAGTGAACTCATCTTCTGTCTCCCATGAACTTGTTCCTCCTCCGCTTCCCTCAGCGTCCCAGTCTCAGGGAAATAGCACCATAATGAACCAAGCATCTAGCTAAAAGGCTTGGAATTCTCTTCATTTCTGCTCACACCTCACAGCCAACGCATGAGAAAATTTTGTTGCTTCTGTCTTCAAAACGTGTTCTATGGGCCTCGACTTCTCTCCATCTCTCTTGCTGGTTTAGACAACCATCTGCTCTTGCTTAGGTTGTTCTAACTGACCATCAGCTGGTGCCCCATCTTTAGTGTAGGTTTTGGCTACAGCCTCTATGCTGTAGCTAAATGCAGCAGTGATTGTGTCCTTTTCCTACTTAGCTCTAAAACAATGGGTTCCCACTGCCGTTCAAATAAGACCTGTGCTCCTTCATAGCTTACCCTGCTGTTCATGAGCCACTGCTACAGTACCAACGGTACCAACCCTTTAGTCGTGCCTCTTGCCACATCCAGCACTCAGTGATAGCAAACGCCTCTGTGTCTCTTCACTGCCTCTCACTTGTTCTTTGCCTAACTGACACTTCTCTGGCTCCTGGACTAAATGAGCACCTTTCCCCCCCACTACTGTCTAGGCCTGTGGTCTGTGGTCTGTGAGGGACCCGTTGCACAGCAGGAAGTGAGTGGCAGTGAAGTAGCAAAGCCTCATCAGCATGTAGACCTGCTCTCTAGGGAGGGCGTTGCCACCTGAGCTCCTCCTCTTGTCACATCAGCTGTGGCATTAGAGTCTTAGAGGAGCACAAACCGTAGTGTAAACTCCATGCGTGAGGGGTCTAGGTTGTGTGCGCCCTGTGAGAGTGGTGCCTGATGACCCGAGGTGGAGCTGAGGCAGTCAGGCTGGTGCTGGGGAATGTGATTATTCTGTATTGCAAACGTACGCTAATAAAAACAGACACTAGCCCTCCCCATCCGTGGGAAAACTGTCTTGTATCAAACCAGTCCCTGGTGCCAAAAAGGTTGTGCCTCGCTGTTTTACAGGCTATTTTAATATATTTTTTTCTCTAATTCTTTGTATAAAAGAATAAATAAAAACAAAAGAATAAATAAAAGATTTAAGAACTGTTTTCTCCAATTCCTTTTTTTTTTTTGTCTTTTTGAGACAGGATCTCACTATGCAGTTCAGGCTGGCCTTGAACTCACTTTGTAGCCCAGGCTGGTCTTGGACTCGCAACGATCCTCCTGCCTCAGCCTCCCGAGTGCTGGGATTACAGGCATGCACCACCACACCCGGCCTCTAATTCTTTTTGTAAAATAATTTTTTGTATAAATGCTTAGTATGAAAGCAGGAATTGTGTCACTGACACAATTGGTCACTGGTCACTGACCTATCCTTCCTTCTCCTGCCCCAACACCCTCTGGCAGGCATGCTAGTACTTTGCTTAGCATCTACTGTGTAATAATTCTCAGTAAAAATTGTCAGGTAAGTTGTCTTTCAGATTCTTATTATCATTGCTCTTACTGAACTCAAGACTTAAAGGTCTGTGACAGTTACCACGTATTTTCACAAAGGATTTGGGCATTTAGAGAAACTTCTTTGTCTCTATACAAAGGCCATATGAATGTAAAGAAATAGATGTGGTAGCTTACAGATAAAGAAATCTACTATGAGAGAAGGGTGTTCAAAGGTTTTTTCTGTCTTTTCTGGCACTGGAGTAATGTAATAGATAAGACAGTCTTTGGAATTTCTAACATGGCAAGTACCATTTAAAAACTACTTCAATACTTACTAATATAATATTTCGCCCTATCAATCTTATAAACATAGAGCCAGGAGAAACCTTCACTGTCATCTTGGAATGGTTCCTAGACACCATTTGGGAACTTAGTCTGCAATCTTGCTGACGATCTTTACCTAACTGGCTCGAGACCCTGCAGGAATGGCAATCCTTGGCTGATGAGGCCACCTGCCCGCTGTGAAATGTGCTAGTGCCCTAGTATATTTTCTTCAACTTCCTTTTCTTTTCTTTAACTGGCCATTTCTCTTTCTGTCATTTCTACAAACTGGTCCTGCACTTCAACTTACATCTGCAACAGAACAGCTTTCACGTTTCTGAAAGAAAGAGGTAGCGTGGGCAAAGGGAGATAGCTTCCTGAGCATTCTGTGTTTTCAGGCCCAGGGGGGGCACCCTTTCTCTGACATTCCCAACCCTTTAACCAATCTAGTAAAGCGAGCATTAATAGCATTTTGCTCAGATTCAGGATAAACATTCTGCATGTGGCCATCTAGGGTGAAATCCTTTTTTTTTTTTTTTTTTTTTTTTTTTTATTAAAGGCTCTGAAGCAAGAATGTAGGATGCTAATTTATCCCTGTTAATGAACAGTCATATAGAATCAGCTCCCTTTGATTATTTCTAAAATTTGGAGTATGGCTCTGATTGTCCAAAGTAACCTCAGAGACATTTTTTTCCCACAATACAGTCTTCAGAAGCCATATTTGTTTTTTTGTTGTTTTTTTTTTTCTGGTACCTGGAACAAACTCATGACCTCGTGCTTGCCAGGCAGGCGCTGTGCCACTGAGCTAAATCCCCAGCCCCCAGAAGCCATATTAAGAAAAGTTTTTTGGTACATGAACATATAATGGCCTTTGAAATCATTCCCCTACACCCCCCCCAAAAAACCTTATTGTTCTTTTAAAATGAGAACTTCTGTCTTAGCAATAATTCAAACTATCAACACTATAGCAAGTCCTAAACCATCGGGAGACTAAACAACCTGAACTAAAATAACATTGACATCCATGTTGAGGCAGTTGGTAGTAATTTAGAGTCAAATTTGATGCTTCCCACAACAAATTTCTTTAAGGATTTACTAACAATCCAAAGTCAATTGTTTGGAAATTCTTAATGAATAATTCACTGAGATAAGTATATTTGAACTAAGATAGTATTTTGTACTATGAATATAAAACTTAGTTTTGCTATATTTGTGGGCTTTTGACAGCCTGAAGTTAAAAACAACTAATTGGTTTAAAATACCATGTCACCAAACAACTATTTTGAGTATGTTCCCCTTTTAATTGGTTTTATGGGTAAAGTTTAGAGAAAGTCTTGAATGCCACATATACCTTAAGGAACACCTTTGAGAAGACTATAACACGATGTAGATTCTTTTGGGTTTCCTTTATTTAACTCTTTTTTTTTTTTTTTTTTTCTGTTCTCTTTTCAGGTTTTCCAAAGTACTTATAATTCAAGCTGAACAAAAAGCCCTGTGGACTTTTCCCTTAATCCATTTCCCAATGATGATAGCTGCTTTGAAAATCCTTTCATACTTAGAAATCTACTTATATAAAAGCAACAGGTAAATATTTAAGAAAACATTGTAGACAATAAAAGAAACAACCCTAAAAATAAATATGCTTAGAAAAAAACAAAGAGCAATATATTATGATGGTAGCAAGGATAATTTTGGATGATGAGGTTATGGGTAATATTTTTCCTTACCATCTTATTTTAAATGGTAAAGGTATGTTACTTTTACAATACAGAAGCTTTATTTTTAAAAAGACAGTTGTAGACACGATAATGTCCACATGTGTGAAATGTGATCTCAGGTAAATGTGCAGGTGACAGAATGCTAAGTAGAGACACAGAGGTGTCCGCTGATGGCAGAAACGGATGGTGACTGGGTGGCCAGGCCCACCTGGTGCATAACACACTTGCTTCTTTGCAGATCACAATACAGTTCCAAATATAGTGACAGGTCTTTGGTATCAGATTGTGTCTAACCCATTGTGGGAAGGTCAACACTTTCCCAAAGGGCTCAGAGGAATGATTTTGGTTTTGACCTGAAAAGCCAGTTTAGTTAATCTAGGCTAGTTGGTTTTAAGCAATATATTTACTGTTTGGTGCATGACAGGATAGAAAATGTCTGCGTACTTACAAAGCTAATCAAACTTATTAGCTGTTCAATCTTAACTTTTAAACACATTGACAGAATTTACATTAGGAAAATCCTGCTCCAGTGTTCAGAAGACATGTTATGTTCCTCTTAGGAGTGTAGACAGCGCCTACTAAGTGTAGAATAATGGTCAGGAATTATCATCATAGTGATATTTACTTAAAAATGACTTGAATTAGTCATCTAACAAAAAGCACTTTTAAAAATTTATGGACCTGGTATGGTTGTGCCCACCCATAATTCCAGTAGTCAGGAAGCTGAGGCAGGAGGATTAGTAGGAGTTTAAGGCCAACCTGTGTGGAATAGTGAATTCATGTCTAGCTTGAACTACATAATGAGACTTTGTCTTAAAAAACAAAACAAGGGGCTGGGGATTTAGCTCAGCGGCAAAAGCGCCTGCCTGGCAAGCGCAAGGTCGTGAGTTCGGTTCCTGGTACCAGAGAAAAACCAAAAAAAACAAAACAAAACAAAACAAAACAAAACAAAACAAAATCCTAAATAAATAAAATTTTAAAAGGGCTAGGAATGTAGCTCAGTTGTAGGCTCTGGGTTCAATCATCAATACTAAAACTAGTCTTAAAAGTATGGCCATCTTCAGTAGTCACATAAATATACCCAAATTCAAAGACAAACTTTGGACAATTTTTATTTTATTCATTTCTTCCTCCAACAATATATTTATTCATTAATTTAGCAAATGCTGTTTGAGAGTCTTTTATGAAAGAGGCTTAATCATAGATTTTTGCACCAGGGGACAAACACGAAACTCTCAGTGGTCACGGAGCTCATGTTTACAGCATTAAGGAGATTGAAAGAACAAATAAATAAATAAGACACCTAGTATGTCACATGATGCTAAGTATTGTGAAGAAAAATAAATCCAGGAGGGAGGGAGGACATGCCCCATGAGGGATAGATGAGGAGAAAGAGGTGGTATTTTAAAAAGGGTGGTCAGGAAAGGTCATACTGTAGTGTAACTTTGTTAAGGGATATGTGATAGTTGCTTCCAGATGACTTTAAGAATCCCCTTTCGGAAATTATTTGAGTCGCAGAACTAGGAGAACATTGACCCAGTGGTTCTGTTATTTTTGTTGCATAGATGAAATAAGCTATTGTAAGACATTATAAATGCATGATCTTGCTTTTATCTCTAAGAGTGGTACCTTTGGCACAAAAGGTATGGTTTTGATACAGAATGAATCAAGAGTAAACACTTCATCTCTAGTTATGTGCTTGGTGTAGAGACTCCTCAAATGTAAGTCTTCAGCAGCCCCCTGCCTGAATACAGGCATGCACATAGACATTGACTATTTTTCCCACTGATTCGTTTGTTTGCTTTCTGAAGCTGAGTGCGAGCCCATCGAAGGTATGGCTAGGACAACAATTTGTTCATCTCGGCAGCCTCCATGCCAGCTCTAGTGTCTGGAACATGTCAGGTGCTCCGTGATTGCCAGTGGAATAAACAAAATTTGATAGCAAAATGGACACGGACTTGAAACACTTATGGGGCGAATCTCTAATGAACTCATGTACCACTCAGTCGTCCAAAGTGAATAAACACTCCCTGTGTGACAGCTTTTCCGCCTCTCCAAGTCCTCTGTGGAGCCAGCAGCAAGGCCTTGCTCTGTAAAATAACATGGTGGAGTCTCCCCAGCAGGGCACTCTCGGCGTAAGCGACTGTAAGACTTTCTTTCCAGGCCCATTTTCCCGTAACGGTGCTATCAAACATGAAAGCTGTCATCTGCACATGTTCCTTCTACCACTGTCGTAGGCAGTAATCTGGGTTAGATCACTTTATTGATGCAGCGTGGAAGAGGCTCGTACTAGGAGTAGTAATTACTACCTCACCGCATGGTAATGAAGATCAAATTGGATAATGTATGTAAAGCATTTGTTATGCTAGGGCATCATGAGGTCATTCAATAGACTATTGCTAGTATTTTCACTAGTACTAGTGTTACTCTTCGTGAATTGAGGCAGATAGAATTTTTGTTTTTATAAATTTTTGTTTCAGCTGTTGAACATATAATCAGTGAGGATAATACTTCCTAATATATTTGCATTTTAAAATATATCTATGTACACGAACAATAACCAAGTAACATAACATTCTTGATTGCCTTAGTCCTGAAGCATGTGAAAGAAGTGTAAGATTTTATTTTAAAAAACCCTTCAGAGCAAAGTGTGATGGCACAGGCCTATAGTCCCAGCTACCTGGGAAGCTAAGGCAGGAGGGTCACAAGTTCAAGTCCAGCCGGGGTAACTTAGCAAGGCCTTGTCTCAAACTGGAAAGGGGCTGAGGATGTAGCTCAGTGGTGGCGCACTTGCCTAACATATATACAGGTCTTGGTTCAACCCCCAGGACAGGACTGTAGAAGCAAAGAAAGCACTTTGCTGTGAAATAGGGTGGTATCTAACAGAGACCTCTGTGTTGTCTCAAAATGCCAGAGATGCTGAGGAAAAGTTTAGCAAGCATTTTGCCTTCATGCTGGTTGACATGACCTCAGTCCCTTTGATACTTTTTTCAGGAAAGAGACAATTGACGGAAGTCATTTTTTTTCCAGGTAGGAAGGCAGTGCTTTAATGGAGTCTGGACTCTAGTCCAGTAACTTTCTTTCTTATTTATTTAGAATTTTCTTGCAGTACCTCTAAGAACAGAGGCTGCGACTGGGCAGGAAAATCACTGACTCTCACTGCTGTGGAGATGATCCGTCCGGCGCTGAAGATGTCCCCGGGGTTTTGACCGCGGCTCTGCAGCCATGGGGTCCAGCAGCCTTGGGAAAGCAGCTACATTAGATGAACTGCTGAGCACTTGCATTGAGATGTTTGGTATGAGTCTTTCCTCTCTCCTCACTGCTTTTGTCTGTTTTGACTCTTTTTCCCCTCACCTGGGATACAGGTTGCTTGTGGAACAGAATTCAGAGTCTGTACCATGGTATTTAAGGCCTTTTGGATCAACCTCAACATGTCTCTCTAGTTTCACTGCCTTCTACATTTCTTTCTTTTGACTGCCCACAGCTTGTACTCCAGCCAGACTCTCTACTTAATGTTTTTGGAACATTTCCTGCTCCCCTTTCTATTTCCATGCTTTCATTATAATCTTCTCTTTGAAATTCTGCTTCCGGGCTCAGCCCAGCTGTCATCTCGGATGTTTGCAACACCATTCTTACAGACTCCTGTCAGAAATGCTGGTGGATTTTCCCCTTGCTCACATCCCAATGTAACTTTCTTACGTCACGTCGTCTGTACAGCTGTGATCATTGCTTGGTCTTTTGACATACACAGTGTGACCAGCACAATCTACTGCGTTTCGTACTGTGTACATCATGTAAGTCTTACTAAATGATAGACTTTACAGCCATATGCTTTTTATAATGTTTATGTGTCCACCCCAGCATTGGATTATTCTTGCACCAATAGTCACATGAGACTTCTTTGTTTAACTGATTACTGCAGGAATCTGAGCAGAGCAAGTTTGTCAGACAAAATACAGGATGATCAGTTAAGTTTCAACGTTTGATAATCAACATTTTTTGTATCTATCCTAAATAATGTCTGGGACATACTTATACTGAAAAAAAGTAATCACTGTTTACCTTACATTAAGTTAACTTGGGTTTCCTGTATTTTTATTGTTAAATCTGTCATCTATAAGCCAGGAGGAGGGTAAGACTCACCCAGTTCAACTTGTAAGGAAGGAAATACCAACAGAAGTAGAAAGTAAACAGCAACTGGGTTTATGAAGAATTTGGGACACTATTGCTTTTCTAGTGATATTAGAAAAAGAGCAAACCAGTACTGTTATCTCTTTACTCCTTATTTTATTTTTAACAGATGACAACGGAGAGCTGAATAATAGTTATTTGCCAAGAATTGTTCTACTGATGCACCGATGGTATTTATCTTCCACTGAATTGGCAGAAAAACTTCTCTGCATATATCTTTTGAACTACTGTATAATTGTTACAATCATAAATCAAGTTCTGTATTTAGATAGAAAGTCTATCTGAAGCCAGCGAATTAAGACAAATAAACAGACTTTAGCCTGTTTTCCAGCTGTTGTGAGAATATATAGCTGTCTAGATGAAACATCTGGGTGATAGACCAAATAGTTGACAATCCACTGGACATCTTGGCTCTACTTGAAAATAATTACTAAGATGTGAAATGAAACAGAAGCTGTGGCTGAGTGTTACTAACTTGTCTTAAACATTTTGACTGTTATGACAATGAATGAATGCTTAGAACTGACTCAAGTCCTAATTTATTCCCTCCATGATGACAAAATCCTGAGTAAAGAGGACACAGCTGAGAAATATGGAGATGCCAGCCAAAATAATTTGCTCTGGCTTAGGTACAAGCAGCAACTTAGCTTTTACATTATCCCTTGCTGGCAGGATCCAATGAACACTTTAGCAGGTTTATTGTAATTTATTGTTTGGTACTAATTTTAGATTTTCTTCTGAAATAAAAACAAAACACAAAAATCCACATAGAGCTGAGGATGTAAATTTGGTGGTACAGTACTGGCTTGGCATGAGCAACGCCCTGGGTTTCATCCCTAGCACTAAAAACATGCTTTCAGCAACCCCTTGACTTTTGTACATAATGCAGACCTGAAAAGTGTTTGAAAGTGATACAGCTGGTAATGCAGTCCACATTTACAAGGAGGTTTTATTCCCTGAAATTTCATAGTTATTGTGTGCAATCTGTAATGTTGATTCCTGCGGTCTCTGCCTTTTTCAAGCCCAGAGGGTCTATAGGTTAGTGAGGAGCACCTGAGACGCAGAGGGCCCAGTAAGGTTTACTGGGACTTGCTAGGGCTGCAGACTCCAAGAGGGATTCTACCTGTTAAGTCCAAGCCTCTCCACTTCCTAGATCTTCCTCCACCTGCCCGCCCCCAATCTCAGTGCAGGGGGGATGTTAGAGAGGGTAAAGGTGTAGTCACTCTAACACGAGAACCTTAGAAATTAGCAGCCTCCTAGCCCCCAAGAACGCAAGGATTCCTGGCCTACTTGGTCTTCACTGTGCTTGGCACGTAGTAGGAGCTCCATTTTGTTTTTAAAAAGTATCAATGAGCCAGGCATGGATTACATGCCTGTCATCCCAGTACTTGGGAGGCTGAGGCAGGAGAATTGTCAAGAGTTCAAGGCCAGCCGGGGCTACATAGTGAGTTTAGGGCCAGCCTGAAAAACATAGCAAGACCCTGTCTCAAAAAAAAAAAAGAAAGAGTATTGATAAATAGACTTAAGAATAAATAATATAACCCATATAGGAACATATCTAAAAGTGATATTTTCAGATAATGAAGAAATTCACACACTTAATAAGGCACTAGAGCCTAAATTTAAAATCTTCTTGGCTAAGAGAATGCTTCTATGCACCATCAATTCTAATTATTTATATTTGGAAGTATACTTGTAATTATAGCTGGCAGTTATTGGCTGATCCGTGCTCAGGAAGGTAAAACACACTTAACAAGCGGCCTCTCTTCCAGACCAAAACTGCATCCCAGAACATTAACAAATCAGGTTTTAACCACTTAGGGTTGAAGTAGTCTAAGCCCATTTCTTTCCCCATTTAAGCAGCTGTATATACATATTGACTATCTCTTACCCAAAGTGCTCAGGACCAGAGTTTTTCATATTTGGGGGTTTTAAAAATTTTGGAATATGCCAGGTGTGGTGGTGCACATCTGTAATCCCAGAACTTAGGAGTCCAAGGGAGGGGGATTGCCATGAGTTCAAGGCCAGCCTGGACTACAGCTTGGACTATATAGTGAGACCCTGTCTCAAAAAACAAACAAAAAGCTGGGTGTAGTGGTGCACACTTGTAATCCCAGCACTTGGGAGGCTGAGGCAGGAGCATTACTGCAAGTTGAAAGCCATCCTGGGCTACAAAGTTTGTTCAAAGCCTGCCTGAGCTGCATAGTGAAAAAAAGACCAAAAAAAGAAAAAACCCAAGAGACAAAAAAAATTAGAATGTTTACATATATGTATTGAGAAATCTTAAGGATGAGACCCAAGTCTAAACATAAAATTCATTTATATTTTGTGTATAACTTGTACATGTAGTCTGAAGATAATTTTTATATTTTTAATGCACTTGCATTTTAAGTGTGATCTGTCACATAAGGTCAGGTGTGGAATTTTCTACTCGTAGCCTTGTCAGTGCTCAAAAAGTTCTGGAATTTAGATCATTTTGGATTTTGGATTGTAGGATGAGCGACGGTTAGTCTATAACTCAAAGGTTCCTAGTATGGCCCTCTTGCTAGGAAGCTGTGAGTTGAAGAAACAGCTGCGGGTGTGTGAAAGGCAACAAGGTGCAAGAGCTTTTTCTTTAACTAGAGTACGTATCAAAATGCCAGTGGAGAAAGTTGCGATGAGTTTCGATTAAAGATCTGCTATTTCATAAGGTAAATATATTTACAGTTTTAATTTCTTTCTGTGTGTCTGGGGTTGGTAAGAAGTTCCTTTTACGTGGTAGACCTAGTTTGACAATAGAATCTACTCAGACCCCTGAAACACACACACACACACACACACACACACACACTCTTTACTGCCTATTAAAATTGGCCCTTCTTTCTTCCAAGGGGTAGGCGGGTAAAGTCTATGCATTTTCCCTTACATACTGGGAACTGGGGGAAGGGTTTCTTCTCAGCTGTCATTCCATATAGAGTCAGAGGGTTTGGAGTGCTGGATCTTGGTTCTTGACTGAAGGAGAGAAGAGAAAGACTGCATTGATGGTTGGGGACAGGAGACGGCTAAGATTCAGCATGACTAGTAGTCTGTCAAGGGTAAAATAGTTTTCACAGAAGCCCAGCTTGAAATCTTTCAGCTGTTAAATGTAATGTTTTCCTTTCAGGTACTGGATTCTGAAGTTTCCTGCGGAGTTTAATTTGGATCTTGGTTTGATTCATATGATTGAGGAATTCCGGGAAGTAGCTAGTCAACTGGGATACGAAAAGCACGTCAGCCTCATCGACATATCCAGCATGTAAGATGGCACAAGCATCTTTCAAACTTGATGAGTCTACAGCTTTGAGGCAGGATTAGTAATGACCCCACTTGACCTGAATCTGTATAGGTCCAGAGTTATGATCTGGTTCATCAAGATCAGCCTTGCTGCAGTGCACACAGATGTACTGGATGCAACTCCACTTCTAAGCTACAGTTTATTTGTAAAATGAGAAAGTGCATTTCTCATGGGATTAGGATAGGCATCCAAAAAGCACATAAGATAGCATGTGGAAGCATTTGACACATAACAGATTCTTAGTATTTAGTTACTGAATCTGAATCTAGTTAGTATCTCCTATGCCTTGGCTACTTAATGTGTGGTCTTCAGATCAGCAATATTGGCATCTCTGGAGTGTTCATTGGAACTGCAAATCTTGGGCCCCACTTGCTGAACTGGAATCTGCACTTTCTTCTTTTTCTGGCACTGGGAATCGAATCCAGGGCTTTTCCACTGAGGTACATCCCCAGCCTTTTTATTTTTATTTTTTTTTTAGTTTTGAGACAGGATCTTACTAAATTGTCCAGGCTGGGCTTGAATTTACAATCCTCTTGCCTCAGCCTGCTAGGGTGCTGGGATTACAGGCATGAGCCACCCTGCCTGGCTGGAATCTGCATGTTAATAAAGATCCCCAGGTGATTTATACAGTAGTTCAAGTTTGGAAAGCCTTGTACCATGGTGCTTCTGAGGTTGGCCTAAGGTTATACAAATGTTGACTATAGTGATGCTGTGAACTGGTTTGTTCAGTGATAAAAGAACTTTGTGTTAGACTTGTTTCCTATGGACTAGGTAACTTCACACAGAGAAATTTATTTCATGATCCTATGTATGGTTACCATCTTGCAAATGGATGTTCTTCTATCTTAGGCATTCCTACCATAGTCTCTTTACATGAAATATTTCTTCAATAGTGACTGATTGAAGAGTCATCTGGGATGTTTGTTTAAAATATATGTCATTTAGGTTCATTCCTAGTAAATCAGAATCTCTGGCAGTGAGGTCCAGGCCTCTGTTATTGGAATATTTTTTCCAGATAATTTATATTTTGCCAAAGCGTGAGAATCACAGCATAGCATTTGGTGGTTTCCATGCACCTTAAATCACCATCTGTATCCTTCCAAATTTATATACCTATCCCTGACCTCTCCTTTATGATCCAGATCTTGCTTGGCTGTAAGGAAAACCAAGCAAGAGACTGGATGGGTTAGAGCAAACCTACTCTATCTAGAAAAACAACTCAAAGTTTATGTTCTACTGGCAATGGGTCAGTGGTTTTCCCCTTCATATACAAAGGACAGTGCACGTATTTTGCATAAGCTCTTGGAAGCAGGCCAAGTGTTACAGAATCCATAGATTAACAATGTGCATCGAGTGAAATGGGTTTCAGCACACTGACCACACTCAACCTTCTTTTCTAGTCCTTCCTATGATTGGATGAGAAGAGTCACACAGAGGAAGAAAGTATCCAAGAAGGGCAAAGCCTGCCTGCTGTTTGACCATCTGGAGCCCATTGAATTGGCAGAGCACCTCACTTTTCTGGAGCATAAATCTTTTAGAAGGATCTCAGTAAGGAACTTGACATTTATTCTTCCAAGGATAACAACCACGATGCCAACTTTCCCAAGAGCCATATTTTCATGCTGTGAAGTGTTGGCAGCCCCTGTCACTGTGCTCTGCTGGAAAAGTGCCCTTAATTCACAGAAACAATCCCTTTTAACCAAAGATAAACATTATACTGTCTTTATTTTATGGCTCTGGAGCTATATTTCTGTGGGTATTTTCAGTGTCTCCTTTCATAGGACCAAAGCATGATTTTTCTAAGTACTCAGTGGAGATTTAACCATTCAAAGTTTTCTTAGCACCATTGACTTCTCCCACGTTAACATATTTTGCCAGGCCCTTCACTTGGAGGAAAAATATTTAGGTTGAGATTTGTATAAACACTTAGTTATGGGTATAGGTAGAAAACAGAAATTCTGTCTTAAGGAGAATCTCAACATCAGAGTTTATTTCCCAGTGTTAGAGACCCTGGATTAAGTTTTCTTTCTCACTCATCTTGATAGGGCTTTGTTCCTTCTCTGTATCCCCTCTCTTCCTTGACTGTGGTCTCTTCTTAGCTGCCTTCTTTTCATTATCTACTTGTGCTGGTCATCTTTCCACACTGGTTGATAATGAGCCATCTGCTCAGCTTTGTCTCATCAAGCCATCTCCTCTGGGGAAGTTCTTCCTCTTCCTTTTCCAAGGTACCAGAACCTGAATGACCTTATTGCTTGAAAAGAATGCCAGCTTAATTAGAAGAAGCATGAATTTCTAAGACTGATCTTTCACTAAGCAAGATCTTTCATTAAGCAAGATCTTTCACTTGCTTGGAGACAACTTTAATAACTTCCCAAAGCTTTAATGATTCCCTTTAAAGCAGGGAAAGGGAGGAAATCATCGCATATAATAGAAGGATCATACATATTTCAAGATGTCCATGCTAAATTTTCTGAGACTATGTACATTCTGCCAAAGAGGGGCCTTCCTTCATCTGATACTTTTCTTATCTCTTTTTTTAAATCTTGAAACAACTTTACAAAATACTTATGTTTGAAGTTGTTATATTTATATTCATGTATTCGTTTCTTGTTCTTTAGTGTATGATATTGTATCTTAAACTTTTTGGATCATTGGAATCACTGGTAGTGTATTAAAAATGAAGATTCTTAGAGATACTAATACCTTTTGTCTTGGGTGTTCCCTGGAACCACCATTTTAACAAATGACCAAAGTGGATTTTATGATTCAGTAAATTTGGGGTGCTCTGAAATAGAACCTTACCCTTTTCTTCCTCCCCTCAACACAGTGATAATGTGTGTTTTTGTGTATACAGCAGTGGTATTGGAAATGAAGCAAAATGACCTGTTCAAGGCACTTACCCATTTAACTTGTAGGTTATCATTACAAATGGAATGAAAAAATTGTTGTTGTTATAAAACACTCTCTTCTGTGCAGCACTCTACTTTTTGATTTTGCAAAAGCTCCATTATAATTCAGAATCTCTGAATCTTCCTTTACTAGTTCACCGATTATCAAAGCTATGTTATCCATGGCTGCTTGGAGAATAACCCAACCTTGGAGAGATCTATTGCCTTATTTAATGGAATCTCTAAGTGGGTCCAGTTGATGGTTCTTAGCAAACCTACCCCCCAGCAAAGGGCAGAAGTCATCACAAAGTTTATCAATGTTGCAAAGGTATGTCTGGTAATCAGACTGGGGTTCTTGGATTCTGGATGTTCTTTCAATCTATTGAGAAAAGTCTTATTTGGTATTTACAATATACGGACAATGAATGATTAAACTACTCATGGGTAACTAATGAGCAAATCATACTTTTCTTAGGCAAGAAGATTGGTTTTAAAAAGCAATACTTAGCTTTTCCATCAAATAATTTATATAATTTTCTGACAGATTCTATTTGCACTTCATTTTAAGTCAACACAATTTTTTACTGTGTCTCTGTTATTTAAATCATGCATGAGATTACCTGTGTCTCAGAAAGTTCAGAAAAATTTAAAAATCCTGACAAATTATTAACGTTAACATTTTTGTTGCAGAAGCTCCTTCAGCTCAAAAATTTTAACACCTTGATGGCGGTGGTGGGAGGCCTTAGTCACAGTTCCATTTCACGCCTCAAAGAGACCCATTCCCATCTTTCTTCGGAGGTTACAAAGGTACAGTGGATTTTGATCTTAATTGTAAGTAGACACTTGTAAATTGTTTAGGTATAGTACACCCCTAACAAATATCACTCAGAATGGGCCCCAATGGTAGGCTGCCCGTGGGGCACAGAATGGGAAGGGAACAGCCACACTAGCTGAGTCCACCTGCAAAAGCAGGTCAGAAGTTCTGATGCGAATCCTGTCACATGTGATTAACATACTGTGTGAACAGTCAACAAATATCTATTTCATGCATACTCTGTGGTAGACAGTGTGGTACACATGGAGGATACCAGACGAATACGACAGAAATCACTCTCACACTACCTTCCTGGAAATAGAGTCATTGAATGGCCACTCCACTTATAACTCTGTCCTTGATACAGCAGAAGATACAAAGGAAGGGGAAGATACGGGCCCTGTATAGTAATACTGAGCTTTACAGCTGCCTTGTCAGAAACACATATAATTTTCTGCCATATTCCTTTCCAGACCACATTAAAATTTTTTTTCCTTGTTGAGCAAAAAGGACCATTTTATCCTTATGAAATAGTCCCTTGTAAGACTGTACTTCATTATATTGATAAAGACATGTTCAATTTTCAGTTAAAAAAGGAAAAGTCTAAGTTGATTAAATAATGATGAAATATATTTTCTAACATACCTGGAAGTCCAGAGGCAGAGCAGGATTTAGAGATGGTCTGATCAGAGCTGTAGCTCCGTTTCTCTGCCTTCTTAGGATTTTATGTGGTTTTGTTTTGTTTTGGGTTTTTTGCTTCCTTCTGATTGGGTTGTTTGTAGCAACAGCAAAATCATACCCCCTTGTTCATGAAAGTTGGGGATAGGCAAGGCTTCTTACTTCAACCCTGTCCTTATGGGATTACAAACCTTCTAGTGTACAGATTGGTTTGATCTTGTGTTGCCGGACCAATCAGAAACTAGAGGCATGGAATTTCTATAATGGTAAATCAGAACCGGTTCTTGGTCCTGTGGGTAGAAACAACTTTGTCTATGAGCTGTTTTGGGAAAGAGAAAACTGATCAATGCTGGGATCTATTAGGAAGATCTGGTTGTCGAAAAGAGCCACCAATGATTTCTCCATATAAGGAAGAGGAAGTAAACCACAGAGGTACTATTGTTTGACCTCAAATTTTGCAGTCATTCCAAGTACAATGGCACTCATTATGTGTTTAATTTTCTTTTAACTTTGTACTAAATTCCAACTGAAAAGTAAAACAAATTTAAATGTCATAAAGAATAAGATTCTGACAGGGGCCCATAGAAGCTTGGAATTATGAGTGTATCTGTAAAACTTATTTATTTGAACTCCTTTTTCTTATAGAAAAGGAAATTGAGATCCAAAAACTGAATTGATTTGTTCAACTTCATCCTAGTTAGTGCAGAGTCCAAAAACCACAGCTGCTTCACATTTTAATGTGACTTTTTCTACTCTATAACATCACAATGTCCCAGATTCACCTTCAGTTAATATCTGGAATGGAACTTTCTAGAAGTTTTAATATGTCATATGCTTAAATTTGTAAACTGTAATATTTTCATGAATTGTAAAATACTACGTATCCATGATTCCATTTACATCCCAACATCATTCGTAGGTAGGCAGAGGTGCCAGCTATTTCTGATTTGTAGCAGAATGGAACAAAATGTCCATCTCACAGCCAGACCTAGTACATTTTTCTAACTTTCTTTTTCTTGGTTACTATTCCCCTGCTTCAATGTTGGTGCAAGTGATACTTCTCTCAGTAGCTGAGGAATTTCCTAGCCACATATTACAGGCTCTAGGGGTGGGCAGAAGAGAAGACTGTTTGAAAATTCTACTTTTCCATTTGTTCCCAGAACTGGAATGAAATGACAGACTTGGTCTCCTCCAATGGCAACTATTGCAGTTACCGCAAGGCCTTTGCCGACTGTGATGGTTTCAAAATCCCCATCCTTGGAGTACACTTGAAAGACTTGATAGCAGTCCATGTCATTTTCCCAGACTGGATGGAGGAGAACAAAGTGAACATTGTGAAAATGCACCAGCTCTCCGTTACCCTGAGTGAACTGGTCTCCCTGCAGAATGCCTCTCACCACTTAGAGCCCAACATGGACTTGATCAACCTGCTCACCGTGAGTTCCAGGGGACTACATTTGTGTTAAATAACCTTTCTGCATCTCATGCTCTAGGGAACATGGAGAGATGTATGCCAGCCATTCACTTTGGGGCAAAATTGATTTATGGGTCAGTAGATGAGAAGAAATCTCAAAAGATGAGGAAAAAGGAACCCTACACCTATAACCAGCATGACTTGAGACTATACTCTTGGGGCAAATCAATTTCCTTTTGTGTGGACAGGCCCAGCCTCTGCCCATGCACTCCCGCTTCTGAAGTTGCTAAAGAGGCTCCTGAACATCCTCAGCCCCTTGCTCTTCCTCAACACACTCAGCCAACTCATTACCTCCTTCTGCTCCAAACCTGTGCTTCTCTTTAGCCTCACTGCACTGCTTTCATCAAAGCCTGCAGTGATGCACGGACCTCCTGTGTGACCTCCTATGGCCACCTTCAACTTCCCTAAGCCTCCAGCATATAGTTCCCAGCCTGGAATTTGAGGACCTTCAGGACTCCATCTCTGACCTTCAGTATAGCTTCTTTTGTCCTCGCTCTCTTCCACATCATGCCAGCCTTTGAGAAATGTTGGGCTGCATGTACTTCTATCATGAAATGCTGCCTTCCACTTCCTGGGCCTTGTACATTCTCATAAAATCCTTTCCCTCTGCATCCAGATGGCTGGCTCACATTCAGAAGTCTCATTTTTAGAGCAGTCTCTGTTCGCTCTGCAAAAGTAATGTGTTGGCCTTGGACTTTATACCTCTTTGACTATAGGAGGTGTCACTTTGCCATTATATTCTTTCTGTTTACATGCCTGATACATCACATGCCCGACACTTTCCGTAGTACCTGGTACATTAGGAACTCAAATAATGTGAATGCTACACTTAAGAGTGAGGCCAGACAGACAAAAGGACTTCATCTACTGCTTGTGTTTGTTGGCATTTCTGGTACACTTGTTTATCTGGTTTTCAGGTTCTAGAACTTTTAGATACAGCAGGTGTATGAAGGAGAACATTTCTATTGGCTTATTCTTTGCAGGGAGAAAGAAGCACCCACCACATTTCCTCACTTTTGCTTTAACAAGGGAGGGACTACTTCCTTGTTTGGGGTTATAACACTGTGGTCTCTGAAACTTGATTGTGATACTGAATTGATTCTTTTCCTTTCATGTCTGCTGAAAAGAACTACATGTAAGCTCTGACAGCCAAGTCCCCTAGGGCTGTTGAATTGGAATAGGAGTGTGGTTCTGGCAATTCCACTGTTCCTCGATAGTGAAATTGTTTACCGAAGAACAGGCTCTTGGTGTAGAGAATAATGCTAGTTGCTCTGTTATCTTAAAGCAGAGGTGTGTAACAGACACACAAAGAAAATGCAGCTCTGTTGGGGCGGAGTTTGTGTAACAAATAGAAAACAGACATTCTTTACATGAGGGGGCAACTCACAACACTCGAAGCACCTGCATTTATTAATCATTTGCTATGTAAATCTGTTTCCACGAATAAGTAACCAGTGTGGCAGTCATAATTAGACTGCAAACCGCAGGCACAGGTGATGTCTGAAGACCAGTCCCAAGGGCTGGCCTCGGTTTCAGATGTCTGTGTAAGGGCTGGGTCCTTGATGTCAATCAGGTGCCTACATTTGGGCAATGCTTGATCCAAAGGAAAGACTATAATGGAGCAGGAAGATTAATTTTGAGTTATAAACTCATCAAGTAACATTATGAAAAAAAAATTAGCTATTTAGAGAGGTATTGAGAATTGTGAATGAAATTTCAGGGGTATAAATGGAAAACCTACAATCCAGAAATAAAAGCAAAGACAATTCCTCTTTTTGTTATTTTTTTTTTTTCAGACAAATTCTTGCTACGTAGTCTAGGCTGATCTTGAACTCAATATGTAGTCCAGGCTGTCCTCAAACTCTCAATCCTCTTGCCTCAGCCTCCCAAGTGCTAGGACCATAGGTGTGCACCACCATGCCTGGCCCTAATTTCTTTTGCTGGGAAGAAAAGAAAAAAGCAAAAGGATGCCAGAATCCCCACTCCTTTTCTCTGTCTCTTAGAGATACTGAAAATTTTATATGTTTGCAATGCATAGTGATTACATTCTGCTTTGGGGTCTGATATATACACTTATTGCATCTTGATTATTTTTCTTCTACCCCTTCCTTCCCCAGACTACCTTCCCATCTCTACAATCCACCTCCCTGTTTCTTATCATGGCTCTTTTATTTTGCTCTTTACATTATTTATAGCTTGAGTCTCTCATATTAGAGGAACTATCTAATATCTAACATTTTGTGACTGACATTTCACCTAGTATATGGCCTTAAGATCCATCTATTTCCCTACAAGTGGCTCAACTTTATCCTTCTATATGGTTGAGTAGTACTCCAGTGTGTATAACACCATATTTTCTTTTTTTGTTTGTTTGTTTTTTTTGTTTTGTTTTTTCTTCAGGTACCGGGAACCGAACTCACGACCTTGCGCTTGCCAGGCAGGTGCTGTGCCGCTGAGCTAAATCCCCAGCCCCAACACCATATTTTCTTTATCCATGAATCTGTTGATGGGCATATAAGCCACTCTGTGATTTAGCTTTTTTGAGTTATGTTGCTATATATGCATGTATATTATGACTTGAGCTCTTCACAAAGATACCTAGGAAAGAAATTTCTATTTTTAGTTTTTTGAGGAATCCTCATACTGATTTTCATTCTGGTGTACTAGTTTACATTCTCACCAACAATGTAGAAGGTTCCTTTTTCCCCATAGCCTCACCAGCATTTATTGTAGTGGTGGTGGTTAGTTTGTTTGTTGAGTCTATGTAGTCCAGGCTGGCCTTAAACTCATGGCAATCCTCCTGGCTCAGCCTCCTAACTGCTGGGATTACAGCAATAGTTGTTTTTTGGGTCCTTGATAATGGTCATTCTTACTGGAGTAAGGTGGAATCTCAGTGTTTTAATTTGCATTTCTCTATTGGCCAAAGATGCTGAATATGTTTTCATGTATTTCTTGGTCATTTGTGTTTCTTCTTCTGAGAAATGTCTATTCATTTCAGTTGTCAAGTGCTTGGTTGGGTCTTATGTTTTGAGGTGTTTACATTTTTTTTCAGTTCTTTATATGTTCTAGACATTAGTTCCCTGTCTGAGGTGTAGCTGGCAAAAAAATGTTTCCTATTCTGCAGGTTGTCTTTTCACTATGTTGATTTCCTTTACTGTGCAGAAGCTTTTTAATTTGATATAATCCCATTTGTTGATTCTTGGAATAATTTTTTGCCAAGCACCATAGCACAATGTTGCCCATCACAATGTGGTGGCCCAGTCCTAAATGGAAGGTTCTGCTCTTAGCCCTGCCTCTGAAGTTATTCAGCTGTGTTTCCATGTTCACTAGTCCTGGCTCTGTCATAAAGCCTCTGTGCTTGTTTGGGGGGCGTCTTGCAGTGCTAAAGTGCTATGACTCTAGAAGTAAAAATTAGTGGAACTCTGAAAGCAAAGAGTGACTTGTAGTCCTGGCCCACCAGCTCTTGAGGACAGCACCACGAGCCTATACATAAGTTGCTAGGCATCAAGTGAGTTACCCCTCAAAGCCAGAATCCCTTCTCTCTCCTCATCATGGAGGAGTTCAGTGCACAAGGAGGAGACACACCCATTCTTCTTGGCCCCTGGGGAGCTTGCTCCTCACTGTGAGGTCTGAGATGGTCACTGCATGTTCCTCATCCATTTCTCATCTGGTCCAGTGCCCATTGCACGAAGCATGTGCCTATTCAGATTAGAACCATGTGATGGGCTGCAGTTTCTCAAAGATCCAAGTCAAACTTTTGCCTGCAGTGACTGTTTTCATCTGAACATGCCCCAAGATACAGTAACCAATATAGGACTGAGTGACCTGAAAGATAGAAAATAAGAACTCTTCAGTTAAACAACAGTTATTAAAGGCTACTCTGCAGTAGGCTGTCCAGAAATGCTTCAATTTTCTTTAATAAGTGTTGCTGGGCATGGTGGTACATGCCTGTAATTCCAGTACTCTAGGAAGCTGAGATGGGAAGGATTGCAAGTTTGAGCCCAGCCTGGGGGAGGGGCAATGAGACTATCTCAAAATTTAAAAAGGGATGGGGATGGAGTTCAGTGAAGAGGTCCTGGGTTCAATCCCCAGTACTGCCAAAAATAAAAATAAAAATAAAAATCACAGCACTTTTCACATACATTTCTTTGGTAAACTCTCACAGATGTCCTCTATGCAGCCTGGGCTCAGCAGTAAGGATAATGCTATCTTTTCCCTTTCTTTCTTACAAGTGAAGAAACTGAGATTCATAAATGACAAAAGGCTAGCAAATGAGAAACTTCTGTACTCCAGCTTAGGGCATTTTTTCCCTTGTGTGGTATGTTAGTCAGCTTTCTGTCACTATAACAAATACCTGAGATAAATAAACTTATAAAGAGAAAAGGTTTCCCAGCACTCTAAGAGCCTGAGGCAGGAGGATTGCAAGATTGAGCCCAGCCTAGATGACTTGGTGACTTACTGAGACCCTATCTCAGGGAAAGACAGAGAGACAGAGAGAAAGACAGAGTGACACAGAGAGAGAGAGAGACACTGGGATTTTCTTGCAGCTCATTGTTTGGAAGGTTTTGGTCCACTGATTAATTTGTTTTGATCCTGTAGTGACAGTAATCTTAGCAACAGCACATGGCAAACAAAAGGTGCTGATCTCATGTCTGGGAAGCAAAGAGAGGGAGGAATAGCAAGTTGTTGAGAGCCCACAATTCCCTTCGAGAGTGTGTCCCAGTGTTTCAGAAGTCATCCAAGCCTTAATGTTTCCATGAGGTCACAATAGCACACTTGGGCCTTTGGAGGACATTTAAGATCCAAACTAGCTGGGTGTGGTGGTACATACCTATAATCCCAGCACTCCGGGAGGCTGAGGCAGGAGGACTGCAAGGTCATTGGGCAATTCAGTGACTTAAGAAGACCTAGTCTCATAGTAATAAAAACTTTTAAAGGGCTGGGGATGTAACACACACACACACACACACACACATGCACACACACACATACATCCACACACACACACAAAGATTCAAAGTATAGCAGGTGGTTTGTTTTAAATGAACATGTTATTTCTAATGTAGGCATACTACTAACATCTAATTTACTTTACTTCACATCTGTGCAAAATAATACATCTTTACCTCTTGGCTTGCATGATGGTGCATGCCTGTAATCAAAACACTCTGAGATACTGAAGCAGGAGGACTACAAGTTTGAGCTCAACCTGGACAAATTACCAAGTTACCAAGACCCTGTCTCAAAATAATAAAAACAAACAAAAGTCCTGGGAATATAGCTCAGCACGAAGACCCTGAGTTCAATCCCCAGTGCCACAATGATAATAGTAATACCTCTCTTTCCTAATCATGGACATGTAGTGAAAGAATTAGAGGACAGGATTTAAGAGAGCAGGACTACGTCACCTTTATCATTGTGTTCTCAGCCCTCTGAACAGTGCAGGGTATGCGAAGCAAGAGGGCCACACCCCAAGGTATCGGGCTTGGGTAGTTTCTTCTTTCAGGGACCATCTGGAATCAGGAGCTTTGAAAACCGAGGCTTCTGTTTCATGATATACAAAACAGTATAATTATTTTCAGAGTATTTTTAGCCTGATCCGTTACTTTTACTGTTCTGAGTATATGCAAATAACTGGAAAGCCCCTGTATTTTTATGGTCTCATTTAAAAAAAGAGAGAAGAAGAGTTGCAAAAATGATGAGTGGAGGGAGTTTGATGCCCAAGTATATTTTAGTGTACAATAAACATGTATGCCAAAGTGAATCCTAACATGAACACTAAATCTGTACCCATCTTTGCTGAGACAGTGGACCAGAACATTTGTCAGAAACATCCAGAGTCCGCAAATATGCTTGACCCACATGGGAACCCTGTCCCTAGGATCACAAGTGTGTGTAGCACATGGAACAGGCCACGCTTTGGACAGGTCCTGAAAGCCCAAAGGTTTGAGACAGGAGGTGGCCTTGTGGGTGGCAGAACAGTGAGGGCAGAAGTAGCCCCAGCTGCAGCTTCCCATTCGCATGTAAGCAGCCCGGCATGGCCTCAGGCTGCGGCACTGACTGGAAGCAAACCCTGCAGCTGTGACCCTGTAAGCAGCCCAATGGGGCGCACATTCACCCATTTCCCCTTCACCGCAGTCCTGAGAGGGAGCTCTGACTTGTGATTCCCGTTTTACAGGTCAGGAGGCTGAAACTCAGGGAGGTTAACTGCTCACGCAGGTCATACCACTGGGAAGGAGAAAACAAACACGGAGAAGACAAAAACATTTCCATGTCTAGGTGTCACCTGTCCAGTTGACGTGGAAAATACCCAAGAAAGCTTTGCGGCTTTTGCAAGAGCATCTCCTGACTTAGTGTGTGGCTTGTCTGAGTTTCTGGTTGGGTGTCATGGTGCACCTGTCATCTCATCAGGAGATGCAGATGCCTCACACTCAGCCTGGGACTTAGAGGCTGAGTCAGAAGGCAAGGATCGTGCTCCTCAAGGTCGTGATTAACTCCTGATAGCAAAGAACTCTGAAGGGAGAAGTCACTTGGTTTTCTCTCTTTATTTATGGAACCCTCAGACCGAACCTGCAAACTGGGATGAGGGCACAGATGTGGGACAGATGTGCTACCCACTTTCATGAGGCTTCCCACTCAACAGAGTCATCTGTTGGGGAATTCAACAAATGGTGGGCAACTGCCAGGGGAAAATACGTTTTATTCTACCCATGTGGAATTCTAAAAATTGCCAGTCGCAAGTGTTTAAATATTGTGTTATTTCACATAAAGCCCCAGATTTCTGACTTGACGGAATAGAAGATTTTGGCCACTCGATATCATTTGTCAGTCTGACAGCAATTTGCCATAGTCCAATAGTGGCTGTCCCTGAATCATCACAGATCAGACCTCTCCCAATTACTTGCCTCACACACAGCTGGTGTCAGATCCCATTTAGCACCACAAATTTCCCTTACTATGGAGCTAGGAGGAAAGATCTCCAGGTGAATTGTACCCACAGACTCTTTTCAAAATAATACATTGTAGTACCATTGTAGTATCTCTGTTAAAACATTGCGTTTGAGTTGGGCTCAGTGACACACACCTGCAATCCCAGCTCCTGGGGAGACCGAGGCAGGAGGATCTCAAGCTCAAGCCCAGCTTAGGCAACTTAGTGGGAGCCTGTCTTAAAATAAAAGGGACTAGGGATGTAGCCCAGTGGTAGAACACTTGCTAGCACACAGGAGGCTCTGGGTTCAGTCTCTAGTGTCAGGGGAGAAATCCCTTCATGCATCCCACCTCACTTACATAATGGGCTGGCTCCTAAAGCCAGTGTTTGATCCTAGGCTGCTCCATGGAATCTCTCCTGTTACACATTTACTGCGCTGCCTCCCTGAATGATTCCTGTAGCACTAAGCCGGGGGCAACCAACCTCACATGTAGCGTGCTTGTTGTGGACATATCTTTTTGTGTTTTAAGTCTTACTCAAATAAACTGTCAGGCTTTTCAGGGTAGGAAACAATTTTGCAGCATTTTGTATCACCAGGACTTAACACAGTGTTTTAAAATAATAGAAATTGAGTTTTTTCTTTATTTCCACAGTTCTTTAATTAAACCTTGGAGACAGCATTTCTTACATTTAATTCTTACTCTATGCATCTGTCCTTGCCTTTAGTTTGAAAAACCTCAAGTATCCTTTGTCTGCTGCTCAGAACCTAGCAGTTAGGGGTGGAATGGCACACAACTGTACTCCCAGCACAAAGGAGGTTGAGGTAGGAAGATCGCCGTGAGGTGAGTTCAAGGCCAGCCTAGGGTACATAGTGAGACCCTGTCTCAATACCACAAAGAAAAAGAAAAAAAAGAACTTAGCACTTAGCAGCTGCTCTGTAAATGTGGAGGAACTGAGTGATGGTTCTTAGTGATGCTAATGATCACATCAGGATATTTTCCTTTTTTGTACATTTTGTTTTCTACCTCTGTGTACCATCTTTTTCTTCTGCATTCACTCGAAGTTTTGAACATTGGATTTAAATGTTGAATTTGAAAAATATTTCAGCAATGTAAACAGAAAAACATGATCTAACACAATTATTTATCCTTTTTAATTTCATGGTAGCTCTCTCTGGACCTCTATCACACAGAAGATGATATTTATAAACTGTCACTGGTGCTGGAGCCTAGAAATTCTAAATCGGTGGGTACTGTTTTCTCTCTAAGGGTCAGTTCTAAGCATCATTATTTGTCATTTATAGTAAGTGGTGGTTACAGTGGTATTTTGTGTTCTACAGATTGAAGATTGAATATAGATTTTTAAAAAAACTATATTATTCCCATTTTACCAGTGGAACAGCTTAACTTTGACAGTTTGACAATTATTTTTTCCTTCATATAAGACAGTAATGAAGAGGAAGAACATTATTCCCATTGCTGTTTTATTATTGATTTATTTCTTGTATCCTCTGTAATACACCTACACACAGGACCCAAAAGAAAAAATTATCTTAAAGATGAGTTATAACTTTCCAAGCTTTGTAAACACACACACACACACACACACACACACACACTACTCAACATGAAATTAGATTTAATAAATTTCAAACACTTTAAATCTTCTCTTTTAGCATTTAACTTAACTCAGAATTTCAATATCACACTAGACAGTGTCTCATTTAACTGATGGCTGACGCTTAGTAAATAAACATTATATAATGCGATCGAGACAGTGGCTGTAGTAAATGTATGCTGCTAAATTTTAGGCGTTTTGCTCTAACTTACAAACATGCCTGGGCTGGGGATGGCTGTGCATGCTTGTAACCAGCACTCTGGGAGACTGAGGCAAGAGGATTACAACTGTGAGTCCAGCCTGGGCAACTTAGGGACTTAGGAAGACCTTGTCTCAAAATAAAAACTACAAAAAGGGCTAGAGATGTGGCTTCGCGTGAAAGCCATAGGTTCAACCCCAGTACTACACAGGCGGGGGGGGGGAGGTATGAAAGAAAAACAGAACAAAGAAGCCAGGATGAATTTAAAATTCACAGTGAAAGCATGATTTGCATGTTGAAAGGAAAATAAAAATGTCTGTCTGCTTCTAACAGTCCTGCGAGATCTGTTTTCTTATAAAGCGCCGAGGCACTGCTCCTTGCCTGCTGAACGGCGTAGCTCATTGGCAGCAGTTTCAGCCTGAGTCTATTAATACTTCTGCGCTTGCGCCCCTGGGGCTGGGGCAGCAGGGCGCCAGGGCTGCTCTTGTGGACACCACGTCTCGGTCACGGTCCGCAGCACCCGGGGCTGAAACCGGAGGGTGGCTGGCTCCACCCGCGGGTCCCCTCTGCTCTCCCCAGGGGCCGTGTACAGCAGAGCCCTGCGGGAAAAGGACTTTGTTTCCAGGGTACTGTGTGTGAAGCCGCACTGCGCCTGCGCGCACAGATTTCCCACCTCGCCCTCCTTCACCAGGCGCCATGATTGTTGAGGGTGCCTGGCCTTGTGGGTGGCATGGACCTACTGTCCTGGGAGCTCAGACACTGGGCCTGGGAAGTGCAGGGGTCTTACAGGGGTCTCACAGACAGCAAGTTACCACGGGCGCTTATCTTTCACGCCTGTGTGTTTGCCGCCATCCCTATCAGGGACAGGGTAGGAAAGGCCACTTTGGCGCGTTCCTGTGCTTTGTGCTCCATTTAGGGCTGTTTTAGTTTATTTTTAAGATAAAGTTTTGCCGGTCTTGGGAGACAATTCCATCAAACACAGAAAAATCACTTAATGTGTTGTATGAGTAGACGTTTTCAAAGCCCCTTCCCAGTGATAAAATGCTATGAATCTATGCACATTCCCCAAACTCTTGTCTCTTCTCCGAGTGGAGCATTGTCCTATTCGATGTGTGTAATAAGTAGAGATCTTATTACATAAATCCTGATTTCCAGACAGGATTCTGTTACTAGAAGCCTGTATCTTAAAATGCTCACAGTTGAAGCACTGGATGACCTAATCTGAAGAGTCTCAGAGTTCTGGGTCTTTCTCTGTTCACAGTGTCTCACTCTTGTGCCTTAGTGCCTCAGTGGTTTTCATGGCACCCTAGATCAAAACATAACAAACACCCAGCTTAGTTCCTGTCTCAAAAAATACAGGGTTAAGGAGGATGTAGCTCAGTTCTAAGGACTTGTGCTTGATTACCAAGACCCATGTACACATTAGAAAAGAAAAGGAAATGCTTGGCAGTTCTGCTTATAGATTAATGAGGTCCAAAGAAGTTAATAAATATTTGTGTTCTAACAATTTAGAAAAATTATACACTTACATGGAAAGGCAACTAGTATTTTTGTTTCATTCTTAAATAATCACACTTACCAATGGATGTGTGTGCATACTTTTTGGACACTGTACATTTTCTTATATCCTGGAATTAGATTGGATGTCCTTATTCCTTGTTCCATATTAATTGTTTTTTCACAGAGATACTATATTATTGAAAGATATTTAAGCCAGGTGTGGTGGTACATGCATATAATCTCAGCACTCTGGGAGATTGAGGCAGGAGGATTTCAAATTCAAGTCCAGTCTGGGTACTTTAGAAACTTAGCAAGACCTTGTCTCAAAAATATAAAAAGTGCTGGGAATATAGCTCGTTGAGAAGGTTCTGGGTTCAATCCCCAGTTTTGCTAAATGAATTAAAGAAAGAAAGATAGAAAAAAAGCTATTTAGTATGATCTAATGGTGAACTGCCCACTCTTTCAGAGTGGTAGATCTTGTGATGTCTGCATTAAGGATGACCGTATTTCACTTGGAAGATTGAAATATCTATTTGTGTGCTCTGAATTTACTGCAGTACTCCAGCACACATTGTTGTACAGGGTGGGAACACGAGTATATCCTTTTAGCAGATTGATTAGATGAAAATATTGATTGAAAGAGCTATGGAGTGTGTGTGTGTGTGTGTGTGTGTGTGTGAGAGAGAGAGAGAGAGAGAGAGATTCAATGTGTGGGTGAACATATGCAAATGATGGATCATTTTTAGTCCTATTGATAGCTCACAGAATACCAGTAACACCCACCTCCCAACATCATTAGGGGTTTAAATGAGTACACTTACTTTTTAATTCCTCTTACAAAAATATTAATCCCCAACTCATTAACAAATAACCTTCTTGTATAGGTTTGCCTGTGTGTAAACTATGAATACTGTATGAGGGTCCCAAGGCAGAGAGAGGAGGATACAAACCACACAGCAGGCTTAGCTGCTCCCCTGATCAGATGGATGACATGTTATGATTGTGACATGCATTACTGCCACCTTCTTCCCCACATTATTGAGGGAGAATGTCTTGCACCATGGACAAACCTGGTGGGAAAATGTACAGAAAAAAAGTACACCAGGAGGGGCAGAAAGGCTAAAGATTCCCACAGCAGTCAGACGGGAGTAAGTGCATTGTGCAGACCGGAGGACATGAACTTGGCCATGCCCTGGTGCCCATTTACTACAAGCATCTGCAGATGCAAATGTATTCTGAATATCAAGTAGTAAAGAGTGGACTAGTTATTATATGTTTTGTATCATACAAAATACATGATCAACTGTTTTATAGGTGTTTGAGAATGATTGAGTTCATCATGTTAAGAGAAGTGAGACTCAGAAAGACCAGTATTACATGTTTTCCCTAATATGTGTAATCTAAAACAAAACAAAGATGATCTGAAAGTAGGAAGACTATTATTTGACAAGAGAACAGGAATAAGAGGGAAGGGGAGGGAGAGTATTAAGGGGGATAGATGCCATTAAAACATACCATTTGCATGTATAAAAAATAAAATACAAATCATAAAAAAAGATTCAGTGGTATTTGGAGAACTTGGATAGGATATATGAATGGGCTGAGAGTGCTTTATTTTTCTGCATTTAAAAATAGTGGAACTGCCAAATGTGGTAATCCTGGCATTCTGGGAGACTAAGGCATGAGGGTCACAAGTTCAAGCCCTACCTGGGCAACTTTGGAAAACAAAATAAAAAAGAGCTGGGGATGTAGGGCAGCATGAGGACTCTGGGTTCAATCCTCAGACCCACAGAGGGGAAAAAAAAAAAAAAGCTTAGGCTTCTACTGTACAAAATGGGCTCTCTGAATATGTATTTAGTTACAGATTAGATTCCATTCACAAAAGGTGATTGTTGAATGGACAGTTTAGTGCTGCATAATGTAAATTTCTGCTGTTATTATTAATGTACGAATTGTCTTTCCCCTTGTCCCTAGTCCTAGTTGTGCAAGGCTCGGTTGAACTGAAAATTGTGTGTGTTTTCTTTCAGCAGCCTACCTCCCCTACAACGCCCACCAAGCCTATGGCGCCCCTGGACTGGGCATCCGGGGTGATGCCAAAGCCAGACCCCACGGTCATCAACAAGCACATAAGGAAACTAGTAGAGGTATGTAACTGAGGGAGACTACCCAGTGCTAGAAGGCTCCTCTCTCTTTCCAGAATGTTCTGTGATTACCAAGAGTTAGATTTCATGGACCAGATGAAGTCCATGAAATCAGCTCTCTGGTAGGTAGGAAGAATTTAGCCTTTAGGGGAGAATCTATCAAAAAGACCCTGTCCCCCATCTTGGCAGTGTGTTCTTATTTGCCCACATACTCTAAGCTACTTCCAATTGCTTTCTTTCTTGCCACCAAGGGGAATTAGAATCACTCACGAAAACCCACAGGGGTCACAATGATATGTCACAAAAATTACTTGAGGGCAGGAATACACCCTGTGAGTTGGATTGTTTTACTTGCTGTGTATTTTCAGGGTTCTGTAACATGGCAGTACAATGTTATTGAGGTCAGAAAAATCACCTAATGTAGGACGAGGCTTGGTCAGAATTTTTCACACAGGAAGAAGAGTTGAACCATTAGTGTGGGGTAGATGAATACATCTCAGGCATGGAAAATGTGATCCTGAATTTAGCCTCTAATGGACCAGTATATCCCATGGTATAGTAGGATTGAGTCTATGTGCTTTTTGCTGGGAAAGGATGTTTAAAGAAAAAGAAAGGATGTTCTACATCTTGGACAACCCAGGAAGCTGCGAGGCACTGAAAAAAAAAGACTTTTATGGAGTATGTGAGGCAGCAGGAAAAAGAGTGGTGGGGAAGGCCTTTCTGCTGAGGGAGGGGGCTCAGAAGGCTTCACCCGATCTTAAGATGATGTGGTATTAGCTGAACCAATTTGCAGCCAGGGAAGGCGAGGCCAGGATGTGCCTGACCTTCCCCAGAAAGGCTGGCTATTTACTTCACCTACTTGATACAAGCGTACCTAATGTCTCATATCCTAGGAAATTAGCAATTAGTTTAGTGTTTTCCAACCTGAGAGATTTGTTTTTAAAAAAAGAAGTTTCATTTGCATTTCTATACTTATTAAGAGAGTTGGGTACCCTTGAAATTAGCTATTTGCCTTTTTACTTTAGTGACTGCCTGTTTTATGTCTTTGCTCTCTCATGTTGCAAATAATTTGGTGTCATTTTTCTTTAAGTGTGCTACTTGAGCTTTTTTGTTTTATGTATTTTGTTATAATAAAATACCTTTATGTCTTCATATATTTTGTATTTTATAATAATTAAATATCTTTATATCTTCTGACTTTAATATCATGCTAAGACAAACCTTTCCCACTCAAAGATTTTGAAACATAAGATTTTCATGTCTTACTTCTGTTATTTTTATAGCTTTATTATTTTGCATATTAAAATATTTAATGCATATAGGATTGTTTGGGAACAGTTTATTTTATAAGATTATTAGCATTTTAATTTAACAGCAATTATTGGAAAATTCATAATTTCCCTGTGAACTTGAAAAGACACTTTTTGATATTGCCTGGATGTATTTCAAGACTTCACTCTCTGTAGTAAGTTGTACTATGTTGTTTTTATAAATATAGCTTTGTAGAATGGTTCATTTCTGAAAGGGCATGTTCTTTCTCACTATATCTCATTCTTAACAATTTTAGGGTATTAATAAATTCATTTCTATTGGCACTGTAGATATAGCATGTTCAGTTAAAACAAATCCCTTCTCTCAAAATAGGTAGGTAGGTAGATAAGTGAATAGATGGGGAGATAGATAGGTAAATAAAAATTTAAAACTTCTCACTGGGATTTTGATTGGCATTGCATTCAACGTATGCTTCCAATATTTGAGATAATTTAACATTAAAGCTTGGCTTTCTATCCTCATGGTATTAGTTCCCCAAGCCAGACTCCTACTCAATCCTGAGGTCTCTGTTTAGACTTTGTTTTTGCTGAGAATCTTTCTTAATCTACATTCCCTGTTTCATGGTGCTATATTTTTATTCTCTACACATTACTTATCCTTGTGTACTACAAAGGCTTCTGGATTTAGTTATAGATTCTAAGCTCCTTGATAGAAAGGAAAATACACTATCATACCTTCACAATAACAAGTTCAGAGCCTGACTCATAAATCATCATTTAATAAATACTTATCTTTCTTTTGTAGTCTGTGTTTAGAAACTATGATCATGACCATGATGGGTACATCTCTCAAGAGGATTTTGAAAGCATAGCTGCCAATTTTCCCTTCCTGGATTCCTTCTGTGTACTAGACAAAGATCAGTAAGTTTTAATTTTGGTTTTTTTTTTTTTTTTTTTTTTTTTTTTTTTTTGGTTTTTCTCCGGTACCGGGAACCGAACTCACGACCTTGCACTTGCCGGGCAGGCGCTTTGCCACTGAGCTAAATCCCCAGCCCTTAATTTTGGTATATTTTAATAACACTGTTTTAAAGCAAAAAATAATTAGAGCAAAAAATTACCTGTAATTTACATCTTGATGGCTTCAGTCTTAGTGCTTTGGTGAGGCAAGTCTAACTTCTCACTGGGATCTAGTTTTGGGAAAATCCTGTGCATCAGTGGACCTTAAAATTCATTGAATGGGGGAAAAGGAACCCTTTTCCACTGTTGGTGGGAGTGCAGACTGGGGCTACCACTGTGGATAACAGTGTGGAGATTCCTCAAGAAACTAGGATTAGATGTTCCATTCAACCCAGCTATTCCCTTCTGGATATTTTTCCAGAAGAACTGAAAACATCATACCACAGCAATATATGTGCACAAATGTTTATAGCAGTATAACTTGTCATAGCTGTATCTTGGAAACAACCCAAATGCCCAAAAAATTAGCAGAGCAAAAAATTACCTGTATTTTACACCTTGATGGCTTCAGTCTTAGTGCTTTGATGGAATGGATAAAAGAGATGTGGTCTTTTTATACAATGGAGTATTACTCAGCTATAAAGAAAGATAAGCTCAAGGCTTTTATAGGTAAATGGATGCAACTAGAGACCATCCTCATAAGTGAAATAAATCAGACCTGCATGTGTAAGCATTGTATTGTTTCACTAATGTAAGAAACTGAAAGAATAAATAAAATCTGAAAGATACAATAGATATTGTGCCAGTTAGTCCAACAGGAATGAGAGGGCTTGGGGCATGGTCTGCGTTCTCCCTCTGGCCAGACTGTCATCTCCATCGAGGAGTCCTGGGTAATCATGACTATGGAGGAACAAGAAAACAGCCTGTTGCTAGTCACAGGTGCAAGTCTCTCGGTCCTTCTTTTCAATCCTGGCCTTCCTTCCAGCCATCATACCTCAGTGAAAGGAGTCACTGGTGAGGAGGTAATATGCTATTTTTGACAACCCTTAGGCTGTAACTACTTATTAGATCCTTCTTGCATATCTCTGTCTTCCTGAGAAACCACTTTGAAGATACCACCATGTATTACAGCAGCCATTGATATTTTCCTACTAATCAATCCATAACTGTGTTAAGTTTGTAATGTTCCTATCCTATTTCATAATGTATGTTTATTATTATGTGTTTCCTACAACAACCATTGAGAAGAGTTAATGATTTTTCAATAGGTCACTCATGTATAGCTCTATTTATTTTCTTTAGAAGCCACTTTGAAGATACCAAAGTATAGCACAACAACTCTTGATAATCTCCTACCTCTTTTGTTTTCTAACTCACTATTATTTGTCTATTTGTTTTCCTGAGAAACTATTTTGTAGATAATAATATGTAAAACAATAACCATTGATAATTTCCTACCATTTTGTCTGTAATTTGCTAAGTCCCCCCTATTATTATGTTATCCTTCTTTTATTCTTTAAAAACAAAAACAAAAACAAAAAAAACAGTAGATATTGTGAAAGAGAAAGAAACTGCTTAAAAGGCAAGAACAAGTGGGATGGGGGAAAGGAGAAAAGAAAGAAAGAAGGGGAAAAATATATATATATACACAAGATGGCTAAAATGATTGTACTACTAATTTATATTGGTTTATTGAAAGGAACAGTTAATACTTAATTGTTTGATCAATTTTTCATGCCTGTATTTGTTCATCTGAGCAACTACTTTGAAGATAGCAATATGCAATATAACAGCCATTTTAATTTCCTATTGTCTTGTTTTGAAATTCTGTATTGTTTTTAAATTTTTAATACTCTTTAAAATTAAAAAACTCATTGAAGATTTTTTATTTTATTTATTTTTTATTTTAGATTATTTACGATCTCTATAAAAGCAGATGCTAGCTGTAGATAGCCAAGTAGCCTCTGTGCTTTATTTCAATTGATCAAAGTTGCCTTAATATGCAAGTCAAATTTTTTTCTTGACCTTCAGATGAGTCCTGAAAATTTTAATAGCTTTAAAGGCTAAAACTCAACTCACTTAAAAAAATGATCATTTAAAAAATAGCTGCTGCTTGGCATGGTGGCACATGCCTGTAATCCCAGCACTCGGGAGGCTGAGGCAGGAGGATCGTTGAGAGTTCAAGACCAGCCTGGGCTACAAAGTGAGCTCAAGGCCAGCCTGAACTGCATAGTGAGACCCTGTCTCAAAAAGGAAAAAAAAATTGCTGAGAAAGCCTGATATTAATAACTGGATTAAATTTTAATTGTGTGAGATTAGTTCCTAAATGAAAAAAATCATCTGTAATGAACTACTGAATTTTATGTTAATGAAATATTCAAATTAAGTCACATTAGACACTTCTAATATTTTTATTGGCATGAGAATTTTTTTAAAAAGTGAAATCTGTAATTCATTCAACATACCAAGTAAAGCTTTGATACATAAACACTACTATTTAAAATCTTAAATTTGTATTCATTATGTACCCCAAGCAATGAATACTTTAAAATTAAATCATGTGAGGAGAAACAAATTCCCTTTACAAATTCAAATTTAAGTTATCTGCTAACTATCCACTTCTTCCCTTAGTTTGTTACTGTAAGTGATATGTAAGTAGGACATGGATTTAAAATCACTTTCCCATTTTCATTTATTTTCTCTGCTGGTTCTCTAGACAGAATATTCTCTGAGGTACTGTTTTCCAAACTATGTTACACAGAAAGGCATTAATTAGTCAAGTGTGGGAAATGCATGATGAAATCTAATAGGTGGGGGTGCTTCTCTTACATGAATTCCTCCAGCTTTTAACAGGCCACAGTGTGTTGTGCTCTCCTAGAGGATGATGGGCTAACTCATTGTTTCCCAAATTTATTTGCTTTTTTTAATTAAAAAAAAAACTAATAAAACAACAGTGAAGACAAAATCAAGACAACACAAAAACAACAAAAATGATACATAACTTCAAAACAAAATGACAGGAACTAACAGTGGTTGCTACATTACATACTGTTATCTTCAACAGAGTTGCTCAGTCCACCGGACATATGAATGTGAGATTGATCAAACAATCAGAGACAGTAACAATTTAAAAAAAACATTGGGAATGATGCAAAGCTGCACCATACGAGATGGTAGGAGCTCAGCAATGGTTCTTATACTGCATATTGTTTTTTTCAGATCAGTTATGCTGATAACCAAATTCAAGCGTGCAAAATTGGTCAAGAAAAAAGAAAATTTTAAGCATTGACTGTTCCTTTCAATAAACCACAGACATCAGCAGTACACCTATTCCAGCTATCCTTATGTATACATATAAATTTTGTTTTTCATTTAAAAAAAACCCAAATAACAAAAACAAATACATAAATAAAACAGCATAGCGAACAATAAAAATGTTACAGAATTTCAAAACATGGTGATAGGATATTAACAATGGTTGTTATATTACCTAATGTCATCTTTAAAATGGTTATATATATAACCAGATATAGGTATGCAAGATGGATCAAACAATTATACATTAACAGTTCCTTTCAAAAAACCAACAGATATTAGTAGTACAATTATCCTAGCTATCCTGTGTATACTTATACATATATTTTCCTCTTCCTTCTTTTTCCTCTCCCCTCCTTTATCCTAGTTGCTCCTTCCTAGTTGAGCAGTGTCTTTCCTCTGTATTTAGCAAAGAACCCTCTCCTATCCCCTACTTGCATCTCAAGAGTCTGCTTTTCCTCAAGATGCTCTTAGGTAACTGTTCCCCTAGAGCAGTGATGGCGAACCTTTTCCAGACTGAGTGCCACACTGCAACCCAAAACCTTCTTATTTATCGTAGAGTGCCAACAGTGCAATTAAACCTGAACACTGAGGTTTTAGTTTAGAAGAAACAACTGTTTTCTGACGCTTGGCTGCTGGGTTGACGTGGCTGGGGTGGCAATGGAGAGGACTCTGTGCCTGCTGCTGCAGCACAAGTGCCATGGCTTCACCGTCACTGCCCTAGGGGATAGTTAACTTTTTTTTTTTCAGTACTGGAGATTACCCTTTTACCCTGAGCTACATCCCCAACATTTGTTTTTTAAATTTTGAGACAGGGCTTACTAAATTGCCCAGTCTGGGTTGAAACTTGGAATCCTCTTGCTTCAGCCTCCTGAGTAGCAGAGATTACAAGCATGGGCCATCATGACCAGTGGCTATTTACTTTTGATCTGGCTCTCATGAAAGACCTCATGGAGAAAAGTCATTGGTTTTAAGCCACTTAGGGAGATTTCAGTGACTAAATGAAACATCTCCATTCACTCAGCTAGAAATCCATTTAGAACTTCAAGACTAGAGCTGGTCCATCTCTTTGGCTATCAGAATGCAACTAGGATGGATATGAGCACAAAGGATTCTGTGAGTCAGTGCTGGGGCCCACTGAGCATGATGGCACACACTTGTAGTTCCAGAACTCTGGGAGACTGAGGCAGGAAGACTCAAGTTCCAGCCTGGCTTGTGCCACTTAGTGACTTAGCAAGACCCTATCTTGAAGAATAAAAGAGACTGGGGGTTGTAGTTCCACGTGAAGGCTTGAGATTCAATCCCCAGCTCCATAACAAGTAAACTAACAAAAAACCCAGGGCCAGCCTTAGCGGGCTGGAAAATGTAGCACCGAACTAGGCAGCTGCTTGTTAGTAACTGTGTTAGTTGGCTTTCCATTGCTGTGACGACATACCTGACATAAATACATTTAAAAGAGGCAAGTTTATTTTGGCTTGTGGTTTTAGAGGTTTCAGTCCATGGTTAGCTGCTTCCGTTGCTTTTAGCCTGTGGCAGGACAGAAATATCATGGTGGAAGGAAGGCTGCCCACTTCATGGTAGCCGGGAAACAGAGTGTATAAGACAGAGCCAGATGGGAAGGGGTCAGCACCTAGACATAGTCCCTGGGGTCCTGGCCCTGTGATCTACTACTTTCAATTAGGCCTCACCTCCTGTTTGTATCGCTTCCCAATAACGCCGTCAAATTATGATCTCATCAGTGGGTTAATCCACTCAAGGCTTCATGATCCAGTCACTTCCTAAAAGGCCCTGTACAACCTTCAATACAGTGGGCCTTTTGTGGGGACATTTTAGATACCAGCCACCATAGTAATAGATCTACATGATGAAAGATGATGCACATGTTAAGTAACAAGCATTGCTCTTTCTTTTACAATTAAGCCAGGGAAGGGCCTGAGCCAGAGTTGCTGCCTGTGATTGTGTTCCAGAGGCCATATTTACTTTATATGGTAGTAAGTGCAGTCGCTGCATTGTGTGACCCAGTGACTCTATCTGTATTTATATCTACCTCCATGTATCTATAGTCTGCTGGTCTATATATCCTTTTTCTCCTTTAGCTTTCAACAAGAAACTAGGCTCCTTATGTGTGTTTCTGATTTAATGGAGAGATCTCAGGAAAACTTGCTTTTCTTAAGATCAGCTGGCCATGGTAGCACATACCTATAATCCTATAATATACAGGAGCATGAGGCAGGAAGATCACTGACAGCTCTAGGCCAGCCTAGCTATGTAGTAAGTTTAAAGCGAGCCTTGAACTACACAGCAAAATCTTGTCTCAAAAGAAAAAAAATAAATAAATAAATAAAAACTGAGCAACACACTAAATGACTCTTCAATTTTTATATATTTTATCAAGAAAGTATTGTTAATAAATAGAATCAATAAATGTTATTAGGTATTATTTAAGTTATTTTGTATATGAGACAGGAAAGGGATCGTCAGTTAAGTCTGGAATAAGCCTGCAGAGACTTCCCTTCTGCGTGTAGAGTCTGAAAGCAGTAAATAGGTCCTGCAGAAGTGCCTCAGAAAGGGGAGCCAGAGAGGAAGAAAACCAGGGCAGCATGGGATCATGGAGTGCGCAGAGGAGTGTGTCCAAAGAAAACATGTCCCCCTATGACATGCTGCCAGGAGGTCAGCAATCCCAAACAGTGAGGAGCGGCCACTGACTGTGTCCTTGGTGACAGGGTCAGTAGAATGTAGGCTCAGAACCTTAACTGTGTGAAGCATAATGGATTGTCTTAGGTACTTTCTCATCACAGACACAATACCTGACACCCATGACTTGAGGAAAGGTTTATTTTGGCTCACAGTTTGTAGAGGTTTGGCTCCATAGTCAGCTGGCTCCAAGGCAGAGTGGCATAGCAGAGGATAAACTGCTCATTGCCTGGTTGTGAGAAGAATCACAGGGGACTGAGGGAGGAGAGAGACAGACCTTGTGAGGTCACGCCCCCAGATCTACCTCATCCAATCAGGCTTCACCTCCTAACATCACTTGTAACTATAGACTCCTCAGTGGACCAATCCACTATTGAGTATCATGCACTCATGATCCAGTCACCTCCCAAAAGCCACATCTATGAGCAAATGAGGCTTCGGGGGGACATCTAAATATCCACCATAACATGGATGGAAATGGGGAAAAAGTCTGATCATTACTGCTTTTGAAAACTTTGGGAGTTCAAAAGGAGAGAAGCCAAGACAGTGTGAAATGACAGCAGACCTGAGGAAAGAAGTTCATCTGGATGAAAAGTCTAGAGCATATTTACAAACAGAGGAAGAAACAGATGAAAGGACTGAGCAGAGCTGGGAAGGTGCAGAATCCTGCAGAGGCTGGAGAGCAGAGATGAGAACCTCTCTTCCTATGCCATAGAAAGACCCAGGAGAGGACAGAGGAGATAGGAAGAATCTGTGAAGTGATTAGGAAGAGTACAGTCTCCAACACCTAGTATGGAGCTTGCCTATATCAAGTGCATTTGATCTTTTTTGATAAATAAGAAGCCAGAGTAGGTGACGAGCTGGGGAGCAAGATGGGTGGAATTAAAGGTTGGCTCTGTGTGGAGAAGATCTGCAAGAATTGCTGTAGTCACCGGGCTGTGAGCAGTGAGACCTGGATGAGATCACCCAGCCAGCAGCCTGCACGGCCTGAAGCTGAAGAGGTGTGAGAATGCTGGGCCCGATTGGAACAATCCCCTACCTCCCGCCGCAGCCCAGTTCTTGCAACCCTGTTGGTAGGCAAGGGCTAGAAAGACATCCTTCTGGAAGCTGCCTCTGAGGAAGGGAGGAGACTTTCTGAACTGGAGTACACAGGCCACATGTATGCACATATGTGCATGGTCCTGCATGCACACACACTCACACACACTTATTCACACTGACTTGACTTGTGTGCACATAATTTTCTGCATACTGAAAAGTCTTTGACCACCCGAAGCTGTCCTTTAAGGTCCTCCCCTCCTTTCAGAGGTAACAGGCAAGTGAATATTCCTCAGCTGCTTTTGGCCACAAAGCTTTGGAAGCGGGTGATTGAATTGGGGCAACTATTTAGCAATATGGTATTCAAGGATCCTTCCCTCCTTTGATTCTCCTAACAGGGATGGCCTAATCAGTAAAGACGAAATGATGGCCTACTTCCTGAGAGCTAAATCCCAACTACACTGTAAAATGGGACCAGGATTTGTCCATAACTTTCAGGAGATGACCTATCTCAAGCCAACCTTCTGTGAACACTGTGCTGGATTCGTAAGTCTCGTTTTCTACTGTTTTCTCTTGGGTGCAGTTATTTTTGCAGCATTCTGAAAAAGTAGGAAAATGACACACTAAATAGAAGCCATGGGCTGCGTAGGATCAGAAGTAAAACAGGATGGTCCTGTGAAGTTAAAGGTGAAATAAAAGCAAAAACAAGATCAGTCAGTTGAGCTGTGATCTGAGTGCAAGGCTGGCAAGAACTGGGAAGGTTGGTGAAACCTGTTAGCTTGAGAGAGCAGTTTGTCTGCTAACTGCTGCCGAGAGAAAGGTGTCAGTCAGCCCAAAGAGGCCTGCTTCATCTCCAATATTCACAAGTGGTGGCAATTAGGAGGAGCATTTATCTCCGCCAGTTCCTTCCAGCACTCATTTGTATGCATTTGTCAGCAGAAATCCATCATGGCATGGCTCAGTCCTTCTCAATTCAAAAAGGAGAAAAGTCTTTTGGAGAGATGGTTATAATAATAAATAATATTGACTTAACACTTAACAGTAACAAAGTACTTCAGTGGACATTAGTGTAATTAATCTTCACAGTCAGCCCTTGAGGCAGATGTTTTCCTCTCTCCATTTTGTCTAAGAAGATAGAGAGCTACAGGGAGGCTAACCAGGTGCCCAGGACCACGCAGCTCATGATTACCAGAGCTGAGACCTAAACATGTGTTCTGACTCTGAATCCTCCACTCAGCGCACCCCGGTGCAACACCTGCAGATCGCACACACCCCGCCCCACCCACCCCTGTGTTGGATAACTCTTTGGGAAGTGGAGTCAGCTTTTGGCCCCAGCCTTAAGCAGAGATTCTCGGGCTCTGCCTGTTTTCTAGTTAAGACCCAATTTAAAGAAAATGGCAAAAGTGGTATTTCAGTTGAGGGCGGCCCAGCACACTGCTCCTTTTTCTCAATGCCAGGGCTCACTTATGTCGGCTTTCTTCAGCAGTCATGTCCCACTTAATGTCTTGCTGGTGTTTTATGCTATCATCATATTACATTTTTCCCATCCCATGCTTGAAGCTTTGGAGCTTGGGCTGGTGGCACATGCCTGTAATCCCAGCACTTGGGATGCTGAGGTAGGAAGATTGCCACAAGTTTGAAGCCAGCCTGGGCGATATAGTGAGATCCTGTCTAAAAAAAAAAATGGCAATGGAAAGCCCAAGGGTGGAGTTTGTGTTCAAGCACACACACTTCTGAGAGTGGTAAATAGGTAGCTGTTTCAGCAAACGTCACCCTGGGTGGTCACAGCACCTCATGCGGTCAAGGCGCAAGGCCAGTCTACTAGCTGTCCCTCCCCACCCCAGGGAAGGAGAAATTCCTCTTCTCTTAGTGGTTCCACTGGGAGCACATTAACGACCACTTTATTGTAAAACAAATGCGCCTCCTTTTTCACAGATTGCTAGTTCTCTATTCTGATGGGAAGTTTTAGAAGTTTCTAGACCCAAAAATGCCAAAGGGGGATGGGGCCATGTGTGACACTCTCCTGCAACATGGAACCCACTAAACAAAATGTCCGGCCGTTAGGCGCGGCATGGCTCAGCTGGAAGTCCTGTGCCCTTTGGTGGAGTATGAGAGTCAGAAGGCTCTTATCAGCTCTCAAGGTCTTACCTTGACCTTGCTGTCCAGACCTTCTGTCCTGTCTCTCCCTTTTGTCTTCTTGGTACAGTTCGATTTGGTCTTCATTCACATACATTACAAAGTGCATTGCTTTTCAAAAAATTTCTAAATATAACTCTAAAGATGTATCATTGAAAGGAATCATGGAACAATACAAATTCTCATATTTCATGGCAAGATGTGACTATCCTGGTTACCCATGGTCTCCTATCCCTATCTCTTTTCTAGTCTTTGCTCTCCTTCTGAGCCTTACTACCAATTAGTTGTCCAGTAATCCTTCCTGTCTCCAAGGCAGCATGTTACCCTGCCCCAAGAGGTATTTGCACCTTAATAACATGTTCTGAAGGACCAACTAGCTTTTAAAATTTTTATTTTATTTTGTTTCATTTTATTTGTGGTATTAGGGCTTGAACCTGGGATCCTTGCACTGAGCTACCTCCCCAGCCTTTATTTATTTGTTTGTTTGTTTATTTAGTGATAGTGTCTTGCTAAATCATTAAATTGCCCAGACTAGGCTTGAATTTGTGATCCTCCTGCCTCAGCTTTCCAGACTGCTGGGATTACAGGCCTGTACCACCACACCCAACTGTCTCCTAACTTTAGTTTAAAAAAATATTTTAAAGTTTATCTGTTTGCAAACACATAATGAATACTTTCATCTTGGGGAGTTGGTACATGTGTATATTATACTTTAATCCTTTGTACTTCTCCTTCCCCTCTCCTTCTCACCTCCTGCATCTCTCCTTCTTCCCATTTGCCAGAGATCTATGTCCCTGTTTCCCCAGATGACTTTTTTTTGGTATCGGGAATCAAACTCAGGACCTCAGGCTGGCCAGGCAGGCACTGTGCTGCGGAGTCCCGGCTCCCCAAATAACTTTTAAGGCTCAAAACAATCTTTCCTAGTTACTTTTCTCTCATTGCTGAGACAAAATACCCAACAGCCAAGGTTAAAGGAGGAAACGTTTATTTATCTCACGGTTTGTAGAGGTTTCAGTTCATAATTGGCTGGCTCCAAGCCAGGGCAGTGTGGCAGAGGGGCAACATTTCATCGTGGCAGAAGACAGCAGAATCAACAACCAAACCTCAACAGTGTCTTTCTGCCCCTTTTGCACTGTATCCAGGAAGCTGGGATTAGGGCAGTGCCAGTCCAATCAGTGGACTGATCCGGCCATCACCCACCCTGAACCCCAGCATTGCACCAGCGATCAATCACACACTGAAGATTCAGGTGCCTCCAAAAATGGCCCATATAAAACTGCACAAGCCTTTGAGGGGACACCTGGACTCAAACCATAACAGAATCTTTGAGCTTTCCACTGGTAGAATTTCACTGTCAGGGAGAGGAAAGGAGCAGTCTCGATGATGCCTTCATAGTGGCAGCTACGTATTCTTCTTAGAGGACCATGATGCCCATTGCCCTTGATACACTGGGGACAGTACCCACACTTCCCCAGGAGGCTGTTGGCCCTGCTTCGTTCAACATCATTTATTAAGTAAACAGAAGCCACGTAACCTCACCATGAAAAGGTTGGGCGTGCAGCTTTTCTAGTTGAGCTAAGCCCATTGAGTTGAGTGGAGCCTGGTACTGCAGACGTCTGGTGTCCGTGCTGCCCCTGTGTAAGTGCTGTGGGGAAGCAAAGGAAGGACATAGCAAGGCCACCTTCCTCGTGGCATCTAGAAGGAGCAGAGATACCACCCCAGGACACCCCCTGAGCTGCCCCAGCAGATTCCTTATTGAACCCAGCCCTCACACCCGCCCCGGGCATTTGTTATATTGAGCAAATCATAACATTACAGCAACTTGGCTTAAGATCTTACTTGACTTTATTTTTTATTCTAGAACCAGGCAATATTTTCTTCTATAAAATAGAATCAATGGCCCAGTGAGCCAAGCATGGGAGGTTGGATTTATAGACAGAAAAGAGCTAAAGAAAGCAGAAACAAAGAATAAGAAGCAGACTGGTCGTATCTAAGTTACTTTCATGGCCAGGCAGGCAAAAGAGAGACGGAAGAATAAAGAAGTAACTCCCTGGTTAACTTCAGGTTCTGTGTCTGTGTGTGCGTAAGGATAAAAACAGCATGGGCAACTGCATTATCGTGAAGTTGAAACTGGCCTGTCTGGGAAATCTGGCTGTAATCTCTCACTGTCTCCTGCTTTGTGGGAAGGTCAGATACAAAGCATAGTTTCCACTGGGTAACACGGAACTTTAGCATGGGTGAGTCCATTTTGATTGAGTCTGGTCTTTTGGAGCTCAGCACATCTTCTTAGTCAAAACAGTGACTTCCTATAATTTTCATTTCATAATCACTTCCTACTTAATTAACCATGTAGTTGGCAGAATCTGAGCCTTTTCTACAGCTCCTGCCGCCCTGACACAAACCAAGCACAGAGCACACTGTGGACCCTCAATATGTGACTAAAGAAGATTGCTTCCTCTTCTGTAATCTTTGAGATACAGTACAAGCACTCAGAAAACAAGTGCAAAATCCATATTAATAAGTGCACTTCTTAGATTGCTGTATCTCCTGTTAAGGGTCCAAGGGCTGCAAGTGTCACTAAAAGGAAGGCAGAGGGAATGAGGGGCTTCCAAAGACCAAGCAGTCCTCTTTCCTGTAGAGTCTGCTGAGCGCTTCATCAAAGCCCAACAGGGCATCAAGTTCAGTTTCCCATTTGGCCTCCCACTTGGCTGTAGGAAAGAAAAGGGAAGTAGAATCCTGCTATCACCTCAGCTGGAGTCCACTGTAAGAGGGGTCTTGTGTCTGACAGGAAGGGTGTTCAGGGCAGCTACATCCTGTTTGTGCCCGGCAGTCCTGAAGCATCCCAGGACTTCCTTGGGCGCAGCCCAGTTTTCCTTCCAGATTTCTCTTCCCATTCCCTAACATTCCTTTTTCTTTTGTTACAGCTCTGGGGCATAATCAAGCAAGGATATAAATGCAAAGGTAAAAAAAAGTTATTTTGTTACATATTTTTAAAATTTGGCACTTGGGGTAGGAATCAAATTTTCCTGGTTAAACAAAGACACTGTTGGCTTCGTTGAGAACTTGGGTCTCTTGGGCCACTGGTGACTGAAGAGAAATGATGTTCAGGAGACCCTGGAGTTGGGAGGGGCGAAATTTTAATTTTTTAGCTTGTTATGTGTCAACACTGCAGACATGTAGCCTTCATCCCCAGCCCCCTGGGAACCATCCCCATGCTGTAAAGGTAGGACCTGGGATTCTGCAGTATGAGCCCTAACTAAAATACTGTGTATGAAAATCTTTCTCTTCAAAGGCAAAAAAACCCCGTACACAGCCATTTCTGTAATACACAGGCACTTCTTCCTATGGTCATGTAGCTGGCCCTTTTTTTACAAAGTCACACAGATGATAATGAAAAAAAGAATCTTTAGAACTTATTTTTTCAGTTCCAATGAATTCATTCATATACTTCTCTTATTTAATTGAAGTTTATAAAAGAGTCTATATTTGACAAATGTAACATGCATGCATCTTAAGCATTTAGAAATGTGTTGATACACACACACACACACACACACACACACACACACGCTTAATAGTGATAGTTGTCGAACTCAGTTTGTTTCGGATTCCTGTTCAAATATCAAAAAGTCTGAGAACTGAGCATGTTTTTCCCATATGATATAATGAAAAACCAAGTAATTGGTTTGGAGGCCACAAATTTACACTTATAAATCCATTTCTGCAAGACTTTAATAAATTTCACAATGATTTCTTTTTGTTTTGTGTTTTTTAAAATTAATTTTATTGATACATTTTAGATATATATGATCACATTCATCATAAGGAATTTGTACCTGTACAAATATATCTTGATTCTTCTTTTTTTTTCCTTTCCCCTCCCCTCCCTTCAGCCCCTATCCCCCCATTTACAAAAGCTTTGTTTCAATATTATCCTTCTATTCTCTTTTTTCTTTTCCCTTCCTTCCTTCCTTCCTTTCCCCCTTCCTCCCTCCCTGGTGTCCCTTTCCCATTTGAACTTTTTCTATTTCACAATATCTATTACACATTTTGGTCCATATATGTTTTCTTTAGCTCTGCTGTGGTCCTCACAGTTTTCCTCTTACCTTATCTAAACTATCACTAGTTTTCTTTGGAGCCATGGCTACAATATTTTTTTGCAAATAAAGTGCAGAAAAGCACAATGACTAATGTTTAATGCACTAACAGTTACAAGCACTATATGTTATCTGGGCAAAAGCAGCGCTTAGACTGAGGCACTGCCCCTTCACGTCCACAGTGAGACGTGGCACATGGCTCACCCTCTGCCTGTACAGATTTTTTAAAGTAGGGTTTTCTGTTCAACAATCAAGCAAAGTTACAAATACCGAGCAGATTTTTTTCTAACTTTGCTGTTCGAGTAGTGTAAAATTCAATCTTGGAGCAGTGTGACAACAAAGGTATCATTATATATAATAATGTTTAGTAAGTTGCTGAATATTTTATACTGAGTTTATACGGGTCCTTTTAAGAATATGATAGCTATGGGTGGTGGCGCATGCCTGTAATCCCAGCTGTTTGGAGGCTGAGGCAGGAAGATTGCCACGGCCAGTTTGGGCTACATAGTTTAAAGCTAGCCTGAATTACTTACTAAGACCCTGTCTCAAAACAAACAAATAAGCACACACACACAATGTGATAATGCTCTTGAAAAATATAATAAAACTAAGCCAGCTATGGTGATGCACACTGTAATCTGAGTACTCTGGGTAAGCTAAGGCAGGAGGGTCACAAATTCAAGCCCAGCCTGGGGAACTCCGTGACTTAGTGACACCTTGTTTCAAAATAAAAAACAAAAGAAGGATTGGGGATGTAATTCAGTGCAAAGACCCTAAATTCAATCTCCAGTACTCTGGTACCCTCCCACACACAAAAGAAAAGTATAATAAATAAAACATCTTAATCACAGATGACTGCTTAATTCAGATGAATGCTGTTCACAGTGTGAATTATTTGCACAAAGTATTTAGCCATAATTTATGAATTTCGATTAAATGAGAGAACTGTAAGAATGAATTCACTGAAAGAAAGCAAGCAGAAGATAAAGTCTTTTGCCCTGGGAAAGACATGGGGAGTGAGGAATAAGAATCGGACAGGTACGGAAGGGAGGTGCAGCCCACCCTTCGTGCGCAGAGGCAGCGCTGTCCCTGAGAGAGCGCAGACACGGAGCTCCGCGCCTTGCTCTGCAGCTCCCTTGGTGGGGACCTCTCTGGGCCTGGGGAGGAGCCACGGCCAGGCGGCATCTGCACGCAGTTTTAGACAAAGGCAGTGACCTCCGGGGCTGACTGCTGTGCAGGACCTTCAGTGACCTGTGTAGAGGGACAAGCTGAGCAAACACAGAGGCAGCTGGCTCTTTTCCAGCCCGGGGACACGCGCTGCGGGGTTAAGCGGGACTCCGGAGATTTGGCCAGGGCCCGGGGCGGGGGTGGGGACGGCTAGCAAAGGTGCCACCCCAAAGCTCAGTCCGCGGCAGACGTGTGCCTCACTGTCAGCATCTATGAACACTGGGGTTTTTCAGACTGCGGAGCCAACTGTCACAAGCAGTGCAAGGATCTCCTGGTTCTGGCCTGCAGGAGATTTGCCCGGGCACCCTCGTTGGGCAGCAGTCAAGGGTCACTGCCCGGAAGCCCCTCGCTGCCCCCAGGTGAGTGACCTCTGCTTTCTTTGCTGTCCCTGTCTCTCTGCTCAGCTCTCTACACCTGCAACTCCCTTGGGTCTCAGCCCGGCGAGTCAGTTAAACCCCAAAGCCTGACTTAGGGTGAGCAGCAGTGGCCGAGCCCCTGGCTCCCACTTTACTCTGCTTCCCAGTTTCACTGATACGCAAGTTACCTGTAGCTGATTTTGTTCTGTCCCTGCCGGGCCTTTATCCGTGGGACCCCTGCTGTTCATGCTAATTTTGATGGTTTGCTATCAAGCAGACAAAAGTCAAGTAACCGTTGTTCTCTTTTCCTTTCCAGTGCAGGATGAGGTGTTTGAGTTTCCCGGGGTCACTGGTGGACACCGGGACCTGGACAGCAGAGCCATCACACTGGTGACCGGCTCCTCTCGCAAGATATCTGTGAGGCTACAGAGGGCCACTACCAGCCAGGCCACCCAGACTGAACCTGTCTGGTCCGAGGCTGGCTGGGGAGACTCGGGGTCCCACACCTTCCCCAAAATGAAATCCAAGTTTCACGACAAAGCGGCAAAGGACAAAGGCTTCGCCAAGTGGGAAAATGAAAAGCCCAGGGTGCAAGCAGGTGTGGATGTTGTAGACCGGGGCACCGAGTTTGAACCTGACCAGGATGAAGGCCTGAATGAGACCAGACAGGATGGTGAGGTCAGTGCTGGCTCAAAGCACAGGTAAAACGAGGAGGAGAAGGCTGACAGGGCGGAGATGAGCATTCCCTGGGCATGGAAGGCACTCGGATGGTTTTGAAAGCGGTATGGTTGGGAATCAAGATGCAGCACTCTTGATGTTGCCGCTGGCTAGTTATGTGTCCCTGAAAAGATGTTTTCTTCTTTTAGGCCTGTTTCATTATGCATAGACCTGAACTGGATTGAGTTCTAAAATTTAGCAAAGGTTGTCGTGTCTCTGTACGGGAATGCTCCCCCAGAGACCCATGGTTCTTGCATGTATCTAGTATGTCAGTGCACTATTCATTTTCCGAGACAGAACCAGGGCCCAAACTCAGGGGAGACAGTGGAAGCAAAGCATCTGCAGGTAGAGAAGGAGAAATGGAAACTCTCGTCCTTACTAAAAAAGGGACCTCTGAGAGCAGCGCGGGGAAAGGGTGGTGAGAATCAGACATGGACACCTCAAGTTCTATACAACACTCTTTCTCCAAATAAGAATTACATTCTGACCATCCAAACTAAACCGGGATGCATATGGCGTTTGTTAGAACGTGCTGAAAATACAAACTGATTCAAGATGGGGTTGGATAAATTTTATTAGTCAACAGGGCTTTGAGGGAATTGGTGTCATATTCCAAGCGATGTCACGGAGGGCGCCATTGCCTCCCCGTTCCAGCAGTCTCACAGCAGTACCAGGTTAGGCAGAGACTCTACTAGACCAAGCCAGTGCTCTGTATTCTAATGGGTGGTCCACTACATTCCACTCACCTGGAGAATGAAGCACAGATTCCCTAGTTTCTCATGATGAGAAAAACCCCAACACCTTTAACCAAAATCCTCCTGTTCCTTCCTTATTAATGACAATGAGAAGGCAACACACTGCTGCATCTCTAGTCACAGGAACCTTACTTTAAATTCCCGCCTCCCTATTTCCCCCTTTACTTAAGACACTGTGTTAATTTTCTGTTACTATGAATGAATACCTGAGATGGGAGAGAGACAGGGAGAAGCAGGAAGGGGGAAGGAGAGATAAGCCCACAGTTCTCCTCAAGGTTGTGCCCCAGTGGCCCAACAGCCCTCACCAGGCCCCTGGCCTCTTCAGTGCTTCTACCACCTTCACCAGAGGCAAGCTAAAGACCTGGGCCTTTGAGACATGGATTCAAACCATGGTACTGCTTATTGTTTGTGTGTTTGTGATGCTGGGGATGTAGAAGGGTTCCTGAGTGCTAGGCAAGCACTGTACCAGAGCTTTGCCTTTAGCCCCATAGCTCTGACCTTTAAAAACCTCTGTACTTGGGATGTAGCCCCGTGGTACAGCATGTGATGTGCTTAGCATACAGAAGGCAGGGGTTCAATCTTCAGCACCCAAAATACTTACATACGTAAGTAAATATTAAAATAAAAATCACTTTATTGACATGTAATTGAAGTTTACCCATTTAAAGCACACAGCTCAGTGGCTTTAGCGTATCTGCAGTTGTGCTAATGTCACTGCAATCTAATTTTAGGACATTTTCATCATTCCAAAAAGAAGCCCTGTAGCCATTAGCAGTCACTCTCCTCTTTGCCCTGGCCCTAGGCAGCTAATTTCCTTTCTGTCTCTAGAGATTTCCAACACCAACTTTACTTTTAACGTTTCCCATACTAATTATCCTGGCAAAAGTATCATTGGTCTTGTCCTTCCACTTCCGCTGCTGTCCTAGCACAGCTCAAACTGAGAATGTAAAGATGAGTAAGAAAAAGTTCATGATTTGGTGCCAGGAGACAATATCCTAGGGCAAGGGCTCTTAAACCGGTCTGAAAAATGGCTTCAGGAAGGTTCATAAAAATGTTTTTTAATTTTACAGAAATTCTACACAGACATATGCTGGGCAGAAGTATCCCTAGCACTGAACAGATTCTCAAGCGGGGGCAGGGAGTTATCTGTGATTTATAAAGAAAAGGAGAAAAGACAAAGGATCATTGTGCAAGATTTCACTATGCAGTTCAGGCTGGCTTTGAACCCACTTTGTAGCCCAGCATGGCCTTAAACTTGCAGTGATCCTCCTGCCTCAGCCTCCTGAGTCCTGGGTTTACACCATGTCCAGCCTTATATTGTGGATTTCTAAGAGGGGAACTTTATCAAGGAGCACTTGAGGGGCTGTTTCGTGGTGCACCCTTAAGGAAATACATTAAGGAGAACACAATCTTCCTTTACTCTGGAACTCTTCAGGATTCCACGTTAGGTGGATGACATGACCCTTCAGTTCCCTCTAAATCTGGAGACTACCTTCTGACCATTTCAGTTCAACTCCACTCAATCAAATTTATTTGAAAAACCACCTTTTAAGAACACCTTTGTTAAATGAGATCCGGTCATACAACAGGCTCTGACTTGTATTGCAGGATGGCTGACTTCAAGCTGGGGAAACGGAGGCAATCATGTTGGCTTTGGGAAGGAGCAAGACGAGAAACTCTGAAGAACACATCAACCTCAGGAAGTTATCTGGAAAGACACTGCATTGTTTTCTGCCGTGGGACAGTGGGTTCACCACAATTGGTCAGTGGGACAGAGGATTTATCCTAATACTGGACTATTGATTCTTCCTTCCTGTCCCTGGTGAGGTGCCACAGACTGTTATGTAGCTAGTTGTTTTCTCACTATATTTCTGTAGGGCCATTTATATACGGGTGAAACGAAAGCTTCTGTGCACACACTTGATAACTCTCAAACTCAACCTTTGCTTTGTTGTGAGAATATTTCCATTCTGTGTACTTTTTGGATGGCACCAGTACTTCATGTTTTCTTGAGGGACAAGGAAGCTTTTCAGGCCTGGAATCTCGCAGTCCTTCTGCTGAAGATCATCTGCAGGGAGAGGCCGTTTACACTGTCCCTACTACACAGTTGCTATGATGTATGGCAAGTCACATGTACCGGTCGCCCACCAATTCTGCATCACTAAGCGGCTATGATATAGCTGTGAAAGTGCTCCTAATATTTATAATAGCCATGGGGGGAAATTACCTACATTTGTCCCTTCTGACTGCATACCCTTCCTTCTTTAGAGTCCTGAAATAGGAGTAGTAATTGAGAAACCCATTGGTTTTGGGGAATAAAACTTAGTAGAAAAGTCATTGAACAAGCCACTACGTAAAATGCAAAGCCACTGCCAATTTTTAAAAGTTCAAAGTAATTCTAAATTTTAAAATTTGTTTTTTGTTCTGAGAGAACTCTTGTACTCTTCCTAATAAATTGCCATCCATAATTAAAGACTATTCATTAAAAAGAAAGCCATCATAAATCATCTTAAATGTCATTTAAACTTTTAAAAAATATTAGTAATTTAAGTATTTTCCTTTGATCCGAAATGTCTACATGTGGATCTATTTCTTAAATTAGAGAAAGAACTTGATTCAAGATGTTCTAAATAGAAGTCAGGTGCTGGTTATGCACACCTGTAATTCCCAGCACTTGAGAGGCTGAGGCAGGAGGATTGCCTCAAGTTCAAGGCCAGCCTTGGCTACATAAAGAAACCCTGTTTCAAAAAACCAAGTAAGGAAAAAAAAAGCTGTTCAACATAGAGATGGAATGGAGCCCGTGGGTGAGGTGAACGACTGCTGCAAGTGACCAGTCAGAAACCGTTACACAGAGGTCCATGGTCCCCATGTAAGAAGGCTATTTTTTGTACATAGTTCACATAGAACTGATTATATCTGTGGCAGTCACTTCTTTCCTCTTTTCTTCACTGCGGACGACTGAGGACAGTTCTGTGGAGCCAACTTGCTGAGCACTGGTTCTAGACAGGTCCTGTGCAAAAGGGATGAAGACGGGTGGGACCGGTCTCAGCCTCAGGAACTGAGAGCTTGAGAGCACCACGGCCAAGCGGCTCCCATGTGTCAGCCGCCTGGGATTAAGCTAGAGTCAGCGTCTGTAAGCACCTCCCAGGGCAAACTGCCACTCTCTGAGATAACTGTTAACAAAACTAAAACCAAAGCGGTAACTTCAGCCCAGGGAACCCTTTCTTGTGTGTTTTTTAGATGAAGTCATTTCAGGAAGAAACCTGTTAACAAATGTGGGACTGCTCTTTTTCTTCTCAAAGGAATTATTTCACTTCACACTTAATTTGGATATTTTTGTGTTTTCATACATAGGAAGAGTTTCATATTGTCAATCTTCCAATGACAGATACTAAATGTACCCTGAGCAAAAAATAAAAAAGAAGCCAAACATATGTACATAAACTATGTGTTTATATTATGTGGGGATACACAAACACACACACAGCCATTAGTTTGCGGAAGAGGAATCTGAGTCCACAAGGCAACTGCACAGGAATTTTTATTGCATCATTCACTCATAACCAGTGGTGAGTCTCATGTCTCTAAACCTATCAGTTTCCCATAATCAGTTAAATAAACGCAATAGGTAAACCCATGATGAAGCAAAACCATTATGGATGTTTCCTCCAGATCTTTGTTTTGTAGGTTTGAGGACCACTATTGTCTTTAAAGTCAAAACCAAAACCAATGAGTACTAGGTATGAGGGCAGGATTATTAGATGCTTCCACTGAGTCTGCACTGACGGATGTACACATCGGAATGAGGCGTTTGCAGATCTGCCTGAACCGGAGCGGCTCTAAGGGGTGGAGAGTAATACTGTCCCTGCATTTCCGTGGTAACAGCATCTCCAGTGGTCTGAGGTGTGTGCTGTTTAAAAATGCAGGGGGTATCCTATGCAAGGGTGCACCACGTTGTTCCTGGTGGTAGGAAGCTTAAGTATCCCTAAGATAAACATAATGATTTTGCCAAAATTAGTGACTATAGAACTAGGATGACTACAGAGATAAATTCAGTCACATCATATTACCAGAAGCATACCTTTGGCACGCAATTCATAACTGGATTTTTTCCGGTACTGGAGCTTGAACTTGCCTTCACACTGAGCTATGTCCCCATCCCTTTTTGATTATTTTTTTATTTTGAGACGGCCTTGCCAAGTTGCTCAGAGTGGGCTTGAATTTGCCATCCTCCTGCCGTCCCTCCAGAGTGCCGGGATGATAGGTATGTATCACCACACCACTCACAGCAGGACTGGAATCTCATCTTTGCTGCGGTGGTCACGGGATGCTGGGCAGGTTGGGTACATCTCTCTGAGCCTGGTTTCTTCGCTTGAAAGAAACTCATTTCACACCTTCCCCTGCTACCTTTGAGAATCACTGTAATGATCAAGACAAGGGCTGGGGTACAGGGTAGCTCAGTAGTAGCACACTTGCCTAAGGTGCAAGGCCCAGGGTTTAATTCCCAGTACTGCAACAAGGGAAACAAAATTCTTTAATAAAGCATTCAACATTACCTAAAAAGGAAGATCAAGCCAGAAAATGTATTATAAGTAAGTTTGGAAACGTAAGTTAAAAGCTGGGCAAGATGACACAGGCCTGTACTACCAGCTTCTGGGACACTGAGGCAGGAAGATTGCAAGTTCAAGTCCCACTCGGGCAACTTAAACCCTGTCTCAAAATAAAAAAATAAAAAGAGCTGTGGATGTAGCTCACTGTGAAGGCCCTGGGTTTAACACCCAGTACAAAAAAAAAGAACAAAAAATAACACCAATTAATATCCTTTTGCAACTAAGGGGGGTTTTCTTTCAAAGCTGTCAAGGTTTTGAAATTTTTTTCTGGGGGGTAGGGTGAGGCAAGGTCTCAGCATGCAGTTCAGGCTAGTCTTGAATTCAGTATGTAGCCCAGGATGGCCCTGAACTTGCGGCAGGCTCCCTTGTCTCTGCCTCCTGGGTGCACCACCATGCCCAGCTAACATGCCAGACTTCCTGTGTATTATATAGCTATATACAGAGGTTCTAAATTTTCTCTCAAACATTTAAAGAGAAGTAAGAATGAAAATACTGAAAATAGTTTTTGTTACTCCAGGCACTATATGTCTATAGGATTAGTTCTGTTAGTTTTTTAATATCGGCTATTTTTGTTCTGTTTGAAAATATATAGGCAAGATTAAGAAACCAAATGGGGCATGCAGAAAACCCTGGGTTCAATCCCCAGCCCTGCAAAAATAAACAAACATCCCAAATGGGTAAAATGTGAGTTATGAATTTGGAAAAAAAAATTCCTTATATTGGGTAAATGTAAATAAACATGCCAAAGGATAAAATGTTTGTTTTTATGTTTAAAAACCTAGTGACTAGAACTGGGCATGGTACTACCAGTTAACCAGGAGGCTGAGGCAGGAGAATCACTGAAGCCCATGAGTTCAGGGCCAGCCCAAACAACCAAGTCCCCATCTGAGAAAAGGAAGACTAGATATAATTTAGTTTACTATGGGAGACAGGAGGAAAACAAAATTAACTTTTAAAATAAAAAGTATACTGCCAGGCACGATGGAGCCTGCAATCCCTCCACTTGGAGGGTGAGGCAGGAGGATCACTGTGAGTTCAAGGCCAGCCTGAACTACATAGAGACCCTCCCCTGCCCCCCCAAAAAGTGTACCATTTGTTTGACAACTGAAATGTATTTTAGAATAAATGAAGGTGGATAAATACAAAGAACTACCTGGCTTTTAAGACTTATTAGAAAATAGTAACTCCAAACCTGCAGGCACACATACCCCTGCCTAGACGGCACATATACCTCAAAGGGAAATGCTTGTCTTTTTATCATGTTGGAAACTGCATTCCGTTCAGAGTCTAAGTACACCAGTTCGTCCATAAGAGCTCAAGGGAAGGACCACTTAGAGCACTCACAAGGCAACGGGATCATTTGGTATCACTTTAAAAATGCCATGAAAATAAAAAACAAACAAAATGGAGAGAAGGGACATTTCTGGATAAAGAGATATTTAATGAAATATGGCAACTAAATGTGATGTTAAAACCCTTGGTTAGATTCTGGTTCAAAAACTAAAGCAGACATTTTAAGGGCAACTAGGGAAATTTAAATATTGGCTTTATATTCTATGATACTGCATGAAGGTTAATTCACTTCAGTGTGGTAACAGTTTTGTAGTTATGGAGAAGAATGTATTTTTAGGAGATGACTGCGTAAGTATTTAGGCAAGTATTAGTATCTGCCAAATGGTCCAGTAAAAATAAACAGCCAGGCATGCTGGCCCATGCCTGTAATTCCAGCATTTTGGGAGGCTGAGGCAGAAGGATCACAAATTTTAGATCAACCTAGGCAATTTAGCAAGACCCTGTCTCAAAAAGGAGGTTTGGAAACTGAAGTCTCCTGGGCCTAGTTGCTTCTGAGAAGCAGAAAGCTGGGGCATAACAGACAATATTTGTAAGAAACCTGTCCTATGAGATGATTGCTACGGTGTTTAAAATAGATAGATAGAAATCAACCAACCAACCCACAGTGTAAATGCCTGCCAAGATGTTAAAGGCTAACTGAATTTAACTCAAATTTAGGATCCTAAGAAAATTTTTACCTGGCCTAGATACTAGTCTGGCTGCTTCCCTGTATGAACTTCCCTTTATTTTTGGATAAAAGCTCAACGTTAAAGAGGGATTTAAAACAAAAACCCAGGCCACACCAGAAGGAGGGAAAACATGGAAATTGTTTCTCCAAGAATTAAACCTACTCAGCGAGGCACGGTGGCACAGGCATGTGATCCCAGCACTTAGGAGGCCGAGACAGGCCCGCCATGAGTTCTAGGCCAGCCTGAGCTACATAGTGAGTTCAAGGTCAGCCTGAACTATCTCCTTGTCTCAAGAAAATCAACCAACCAAACAAACAAAAAGAATAAAATCTACTTAAAAGAGTTCCTGATCCACAGGAACCAAGACAATAAATGCTTATTGTTGTTTTAGGATACTGTACTTTGCTACACAAGAGACAACTAATACAGTATCCTACAGGGCAATTAAACCATAACCTTTGGAGTTATTTTCTACATTAGGTAGAAACAGTACACAATAGTATGTCAGATAAAAATCATCTATATGTTATCAGGTTTAAGTTAGCACCTGGACCCTAATCTATAGTAAGTTAAACAAAGACACATTTCCCTGGAGAAGTCTCTCTACCTGTGTACTACTGACATCTGGGGCTTATCAGGCCTTAGCTGGGAGGGAGCTGTGCTGTGCGCTGTGGATGTTCAAGAGCACCCCTGGGTCCGCCCACTGGATGCCAGCAGCGCTTCCTCTTCCTCCCCGTGACAGCCAAAGTCCCCAGACATTTCCAAAGGCCCCTGAGTGGCATGACTCCTAGGCAAGCCTGTTAGACACCACTCCGGAACGACACCCACGGGAAATGCAGCCGTCTTTTGCCCTATCTCCAGGTTTTGGATCACTTTTCTCAGTAATTCTTTCTAAAGAAATGTAAGGTGAAGGCAATTCCACTTGCTTATAAAGGTAAATATTAGAACAAAACCCCAAATCCTAAATATCAAATATCAGTGCAAAGGGGGAAGCAGAGAGACCTATATGAAAGACTTTTAAAAGTTATAAAAACAAAAGCTAGGCATGCTGGCACATGCCTGTTATC